GATGCATTTTAATCGATTGCTTGTTTTTATGTATATTGTGTTATTAATATGATGTTAGCCACTCTGAGCCCAGCTCCGGCAGGGGAGGGGAGGATACAAATAAAAATTTATTTTTATTATTACTTATTCCTGATAAACCCTAAGGAGGTTAACCTGGCACCTTCATTACACACCTTTAGGCACCAGGCATAAACGTTCCTCTTTAACCAGGCCTTTGGCTGATTGACATCCAGTGCCCTTTTAAAATGTGTGTATGGCTGTGTAGGGTGGTTATTGGGTTGTTTTTATTTTTTATTATGTATTTTGTGTTTTTATATTGTAACCACCTTGAAACCAGCAGGCATAGGGGCGGTATACAAATTTTAAAAATAAAATGAACAAACTCATGCTGGCTCACACTACTCAATGCATCATTTTCTAAATGCTCACAAGCATTTAGAAGCCATGTTTAATAACCTTTTCTATAATTTTGCCCAATACTGAGGTCAGACAGGCTGATTTATGGTTCGTCGGAATGTTTGGGTTTTGGCTATATGCAAGACAGCAGTCAGTTCATTTAGTTTTTGTTTATTCAATTTGTAAACCATCTTTCATTGCATGGATTATCACAGTTACATTTATCCAAACTAGCAAAAACCACCAAAATAACTTGGCGGCGACAAAAACACATATAAATAAATTCAAATGCTGGTAAGTGACCCAGGCAACGTACAAAAACAAAAAAGCACTAAAACCAAGTATAACAAACAACCAATAAAGAAACTAAAAGAGAATAGACAGGTCTTACAGATCCTGTAAGATCCACTAGAGAAGGCCACAAATACCTGAAACCCTTCAAATCAAGGGTGATGACAATTGTAGTCTTCGGGGGTTGCTATGGAGAAGCTGTTCTTGAGGTTCTAAGCTGCTTAAGGCTTCACAGGTCAAAACCAGAACTTTGAATTGATCCCAGAAACTAATTGGTAGTTCGTGGAGCCCAGCTGGCCTCTCACTGCTGGCCAGCTGTGGAAAAAGGCCAGCTTCTTTGGAAGCAAAGAGTGCAGGCGGCTATGGAACAGGCTGGGTAGACAGCTCCCTTTCTCCAGTGATAGCCTCCACTTGCTTCAGCCTCAGAGAGATTTTAACCATGAACATGCACAATTAAAAGCTAAAGAATTCCAAAGCAATTAAATGTTGTTTACCTAGGCCAAGAATTCTGAAGCCCTTTTTGAAAAATACCTACCCGTTCACCGAATGCACAAGAGAAGGGGAGGGATTGTGCCAGCTTGCCAGACCTATTGAAATTAATGACTAAATTTGTTGTGCTCATTAATGTCAATGAGTCTGCTCCGAGAAAATGTTAGTTGGATACCACCCAAGATATGCATGGAGCTACTGAGTAACATTATAGGGATGGAGGAAAAAAACATATGGACAGGTAGGTTATTTCTAAGTTCAGACATACCCAAATCCTGAAACAGCTTCTCTGCCATGCCCCCAAATAGTTGTCCTGGCATATACTGTGAAACTGGGGTGGGGGAGGAGAACCCAGTTGACCCAAACCCTGGCAGCAATCCCAGATTCTAAATACTTGGACTAGCCCACTAGAATGTCCATTGTTTCCTGTCAAATAGCCAAGTCATGCAAAGTCTAGAACAGGCTTCCTCAAACTCGGCCCTCCAGGTGTTTTTGGCCTACAACTCCCATGATCCCTAGCTAGCAGGACCAGTGGTCAGGGATGATGGGAATTGTAGTCTCAAAACATCTGGAGGGCCAAGTTTGAGGAAGCCTGGTCTAGAAAGAGGGCCATTTCTCAGTTTGTGCGACAGAATAGCAAGGATCTCACAAATATAATGAAAAAATAAACTGAAAAAGTGTAACCAAAATTCTCCAAAACTCTGATATTGTAATCCACTTATTATGCAGCATCCTACGAAAATATCAATCTACAGAAATGACCTGATCTTTGCTTGCCATTCAGAAGAGTATCCTCTGGCTGAGGTTTCTACAGATGAGCTTCTTGTAATATAGAGTTACTGACTCACACTTGCGTAAAAGGGTCAACCTGAGCTCAAGTTGCCTTGGGCTCTCAGCAGCTTCTTCCCCCACCCTTTTTTTGTGCTTTCTAGAACAAGCAAAAAGTCATGGGGCCATGGCTTCCTGCAAGTGAGCTGAATCTCTCGAAAAGGAATCTCTTTGCTAATCCAAAGATTGCAAGATCCTTCTTGTAAGGAAACCAAGTTCTTTTTCTTTTTAAGTCACTTGGAACCTTTCTTCTTTGATTTACTACCAGTGGATGGAGACTTGTTTGCTGTAACTTCTGGAAACTTTGTAAGGAAAATATTCACCTATTTGCCAAGCTAAGTGTGATTTATTCTAGCCGAAGTATTTTTGTGGGGATTTTTTTTTTAAAAAAAGTGGGATGAGGGCAGGTGTGCTTGGAGTAATTGCCATTGTGTTTAACTTTGCTACAAGAAAGTAAGACTCTCTCTTCCAAACCTCTCTCTAACGGACCTTTCAACATAACCAGCATCCTGTGAGTCAAACTAAGCAGTCAAGGAAAAGCATGGCTATGTGTTTTGGAATGAGGAAATTGAGTGGGGTGGGGAGACATTAGGTCACACATTTGTATTTTTGCAATGTCAAACATAAGTGCAACTTCAAGTCAACCTTTTGGATTTGATTATATAGGAGCTGTATTGTTAGGGCTATTCAAATTCCATACATTTAGATCAGGAATCTCCAGCCTGCAGGTAAAATTAGGCTCACCTTGTGTCCTAACTTGGCCCATGAGGTTGTTTTCCTAAAAACACCCACCTATTTCAAAGTGCATGTTAATTGCTGTTATGCTTGTCCTTCAGCCTTGGTCTTCTGTCCTCGTTTATTTTGCTTCTCTTCAAAAGTTATCTTCTGGAGAACAAATGAGAAGTGTGTGTATATTCTGGCAGAAGCATGATTTTCTTGCAAAACTACAGAATCACATAGTGTGTCCATTTCAATCTTCTGGGACAGTGATGTAATTTTTTTTGGAAATAGCATGGTTATGCCTCTGAGATAGTAGTATCTTGTGATTAAGAGCCCTATGCAAACAGTGTGACGCAAGCAGAGTTTAATCACAGATTTAAGCAGGTTCAGTGCTCACAGTTTGGCTTGCTCGAGTTCTCTGGGTAATTTTCCTTCAACTGTAATTAATCCCACATTTAAGGTCAGCTTTTATTACTTAGATCCTAGCTCAAAGAGTGTCTTCAACTTAAAGGGTGTCATCAACTTTGTATAGAGCTGTGTGTGTGTGTGTGTGTGTGTGCATATAAGAGAGTGTGTCCTCCAGTGATGCTAGCAAACAATACATCCATTATTTCAAGGAGAGTGCAACCTCACCCAGAATAAATGATAAATCACTTCCTGGATCTGACAACCACTTGCCAACAGGGTCTCTTCCTGGAATTGAGTTCAAGTTTTTTGGGCCTTATCTAGCCTCCCATTGTAATCTGAAACTGGTCTAGGACCCTCATGACCATACTTGATTCAGATGTAACAGATAAATAGAACTGAGCATCATCACTATAATGACACCATGCTCCGAGTCTCCCAGTGACTGCCCCACTGGCTGTATATTAGCACACACCTTTGTCTTTTGCAAAGACCAACAAAGTGAGAAAGCTCACCCACTTCTCCAAGTCCTCTAGCACATGGGGAAGACTTAAAGAGTGGTAGGTTCAAGGGCAACCATAAATACTGGCAGACCAGAATGTCAAACATAGGATATTCTAGGTGTATAGGAAACTGTTACGGATTCCCCTTTATGGGTGCACCCAACCCTTCAGATATAGCTGATGACAACCATTATGAGATTTTGCTTCCAACTAAAGAACCCCCCCTTTTTTTACAGGCACCTTTAGTTTGTTATTCTGTCAGGCTTTAATTGTGCTGCTCTTGATTCTCACCCAATTTTAAAAAGGGTTTTTTATGCCAAGCTTAGTTGTGAGCATATTTGAACATTCATAATGTTGTTGAAAACTGTGCCGTCCCCTTTTTTGGTGTTTACCATTCTCCACTTCCTTTGGGAGGAGGGGCAGGGTAGAAAAATTTAAAAATAAATATTGATTTGTGGTTTTACTGAAAGTGGGCAAGAATTCGGATAAACAAATAAAAGTTGTGGAGCAGTTAACATACAATATTATGTATTGTTACATGTAGCAAAGCTAGGGTGGAGTGTGTGCTGATACACTTAGGTATATGAAGGGAGTTTAAGTTTTATGATTCTTTGCAGCCTATAACCCAGGGCATTTCTTCAGCAGGAGCTCACTGGAACTCAGTTCCGGCACCTCTCAGGCTGGCAACACTGCCATTCTAAGTGAACAAGGGAGGTGTTCATGATGAGTACGAGCACCTCCTTTTCTAGAAAAATAGCTGCTGTTCGAACCTAGCAGTTCGAAAGCACGTCGAAGTGCAAGTAGATAAATAGGTACCGCTCTGGTGGGAAGGTAAACGCCGTTTCCATGTGCTGCTCTGGTTTCGCCAGAAGCGGCTTAGTCATACTGGCCACATGACCCGGAAAAACGGTCTGTGGAGAAACGTCGGCTCCCTCGGCCAGTAAAGCGAGATGAGCGCTGCAACCCCAGAGTCGTTCGCGACTGGACTAAACGGTTAGGGGTCCTTTACCTTTTTAAAGGTAAAGGGACCCCTGACCATTAGTCATGACCAACTCTGGGGTTGCGGCGCTCATCTTGCTTTATGGCCGAGGGAGCCGGCATACAGCTCATGTGGCCAGCATGACTAAGCTGCTTCTGGCGAACTGGAGCAGTGTACGGAAATGCCGTTTACCTTTCCGCCGGAGCGGTACCTATTTATCTACTTGCACTTTAACGTGCTTTTGAACTGCTAGGTGGGCAGGAGCAGGGACCGAGCAACGGGAGCTCACCCCGTTGCGGGGATTTGAACCGCCGACCTTCTGACTGGCAAGTCCTAGGTTCTGTGGTTTAACCCACACCTTTTTACCTCTAAATAAATAAACATATTCAGCTAAACACTAAATCTGATATGGACTACACTGATACATCTTTCAGTTCCCGGCATAAATAACTCTTCCACTGCCACCACAATCCTAATAGCGTCTACTCTGAAGACATCCTACTGATATCAATGGGGTTTTCTACCAAGAAAGTCTTGAAACATGAGTGAATAATCTGCTGCTGCGTGGCAAAGCTGCACAAAGCTGCGACCACCACCTACTGGACAAGGAGCTAATCGCGCTCCCAAAAACGACACACTTCTACACATTCCTCAAAACCTTCCCGCAAACGCAACGTGACTCTGCCCCCCATTTCTTCCCATCGCAAGACTGCAATGGGTGCAAAAAAACCCAAAATCCCAAGTCGACGGACTTTGATGACAAGTACCCTTCCCTCCCATCCAACTATTGAAGACGGCACGGAACAACCACCTCCGAAATTGCAGAGAGCCTATTGGAACTCAAACCCAAAAACAACCAGCCGCATGCAACCCCTGTCGAAGAGATCTTTGTTGCATTTTCCACGTGAACCTTAATACACGTACGACGAGCCCAGCCGCTTCTCCGTGAGCTCCCATTAAATGACCCAGAGCGGACATGCGCAGTGCTACTCTACCGCCTGCCTGCCCACCCCCTCCTTCCCCTCCGTCGCTCCTTGATGACGAACACCGCAGCTGGCGTCCAAAACAAAACGCGCAGCCTGGATCCGCCACGCATGCGCAGTTTCCTCAAGAGGCCACTCTTTTTCCCTTTCCCCCACCCTTTCTGCCTCTTGTCTGTGGCGGGGGGGGGGAGGGGACAGCTCAGGTCTGGCAGCCGCAGCAGCAGCAGCCCCCCCTCCCCGCTCCCGCTTAACTGACAGCGCGACCGGCTTCGGCCGCGTCCCTCAGCGAACGCCGCGCGCGCTCGAGCGCCGTGAGGGGAAGCAGCAGGCCTCGCCTCCGCCGGCTTCCAGCGGAAGGGGGCAGCCCGGCAGCAGGTCCCACACGCCGGGCAAGAGGGGGGCGGTGTCGGCGGCGGCTTCCCCGGCCGCCCTCCTTCTCCTCCTCCTCCTCTCCGGGGTCCGAGGCCGGGGAGCGCGGCTGCTGCTGCCGCCACCTGCCGCCACAGGTGGGCAGCCCTGTATATACCCCGCCGTGAGGGGCTTCATGCCGGGCACAGAGTAGCGGCGGCGGCGGCGGCGGCCGGCCTAAGCGAGGAGAAGCGGGGAGCCCGTCGGATGCCCGTCGCCGGCAGCCTCGGCGTCAGGGCCGGCGGCGGCGGGGCATGAACCTGGCGCAGCCCGAGGGCCAAGAGGAGGAGGAGGAGGAAGGCGGCGGCGAGGAGGAAGAAGAGGAAGGCGGCATGGAGCCTCCGGAGGACGCGGCTGCAGCGGACCCGGCGCCGGTTGGGTGCCCGCTCCAAGAAGCGGCCGGAGGAGAAGGGGCCGGCGGCTGGGAGCAGAGCCTGAGCCCGGAGCTGCAGCAGGCGCGCCGGATCCTGAGCGAGTTCCTGCTGGAAAAGCACCGGCCCCTGACAGCTCCTTTCCTGAGACCTTTCGGAGGAGGAGGAAGCCAGCAGGAGGCTGAAGGGGGGCTGCAAAGTGGATCGGCCGGCCCCACCTCCTCCTCCTCCTCCTCCTCCTCTTCCCAGGATCCGTCCAGCCAAGATCCTCCGCCGCCACCGCCGCTCTCTGGGATGTGGTTGCTGAAGATGGAAGAGAAGTTTTCCTCCGGCCAGTACAAAGGGATCGCGGATTTCGTGGCCGATTTCCGGCTGATGCTAGAGACGTGCTACCGGCTGCACGGGGTGGATCACTGGCTCTCCAAGCAGGCCCAGAAGTTGGAGATGATGCTGGAGCAGAAGCTGGCGCTGCTGTCTCGGTAAGGTGTGATGGTGATGGGCAGAGCTTCTTCCTGCTGGGTTGTTGTCATCAGCTTCACTCCTTAGGAGCTCAGCCTTCTCCCCATTTTATCCTCACAACAACCCCGTGAGGTAGGCTAGTGTTGGGAGTACTTTAGCCACTGAGGGTTTGAACCCAGGTCTCTCAAGTGCTAGCCCAGTGCTCTAACCACTGACTGTATACCACGCTGACTCTTAAGGAACACCGAAAAGGAAAACGTAGAGTTGTCCTTCTTGTGAAATGTTATGTATTGCCACAATTCACGTAGAAATCTATTCTTTAATATATTACCTATATTTCTGTGGCTACAGTCCTAAGGACGTTTAGTAGGAAGTAAGTACCATTGCACATGGTGGGCTTCCTTAGCAGTAAACATGTTTAAGATGGTGCTGCAAATCTTTGGCACAAACTCATTCGAGGTGATAATCCACTTGTAGTGCAGACTTGTGGATGAATTCTTAGTAGTAACTTCTATTGAATTCAGTGAGATTGCTCCAGGGCTAGTATGTATAGGATCATGCCTAACATGTGCACAGTTACCTGGAAGTAAGTTCCATTGGAATAAAGAGAAACTTCTTAGTAAACATGTATGTGTTTGGTTGTTAACATGTGGTATTGAAAGCATTTGTTTTCATTTTTAGCAGCATGTTACCTTTTTTGTAGCATGTGTACTTAGAGTAAATGTCAATAATACTTCCAAAGAGACAATATCTGTTAATTGTTTTCATTTCTAAAAAGGGAGGTTATAGGATTTAGGTTTCTTTAAACCCAATTTCCTGAGTCTGTATGTGGGGGACCTGTTGTCCTGACATTGAAAACTGGATTTAGGGTCTGAATTTAATCATTAAAATGAAATCCTAGTCCTGATGAGGTAGTGCCTTGGGTTTTGTGGATGTTAGCATTAGGCTGAAGACATAATGCACACTTATCTCAGAATACGTCCCACTGAAAACAATGACACATGCTTCTGAGGAAACATGCTTAGGATGTAGGGAAAATTTGTTTATGTGGCTTTAAAAATATAGCAACAGACTATGAATGAATTGAGAATGTTCATCGGCTTAGGAATGTAGAACAAGAGCTCAGAAGCTACACCTGAGTAAAAGGGTATGATTGATTGTGTGTGTGGTGGGGTCATAATGGAAGACAAAATGTTCTTGAAGTTCATTACAACAATGTTTAACTACTAAAATTTTAATTTACTTCCTCTTATGTTAAGAAAGCATTTTTTTTATTATTAACTTCTTCCCTTTAAAATTAGCTTGTTGCTATAAGAAGGGTGGGGGTGATGCTTGCTGCTGACAAAAGTGAAATCTCTGAAGGTAAAATATGCAGTGATGCAAATAATTAGGAGATTGTGGCCTGGCTTGCACATAACACTAAACCATGGTTTGTTTAATCTGTATTAATTTACAAAGCTCTAAATAACATAGGTTTAGGGTACCTTAGGGATCGCATGAACCCTTATATCCCAGCTTAACTCTAAGGTGAGGCACATTGAGCAGCAACAAGAAATCAAGCCTTTAGTGCCATTGGCACAGTTCTGTGGAATATCCTGCCAATACAGCTTCAGCAGGTGTATTCTGTTTCAACCTTTAAACCGCTTCTGAAAACTTTTCTTTTCCACCAGGCTTATGCAGGGAACTCTGAAGACATCTTTCCATAATAGTTATGGGATGGTCTCTGATTTCATTTTTTAAATGTGGCTTTTACTGTATCATTTTATATATGGCTACTGTAAGCCATTTTATGGATATTGGTATATACAAATATTCTTTATAAATAAATAAATAAACAAACAAACAATCAATCCAGGAGTTGCCCCACAGACAATCAAATAATGTCCTGTTTCTTGCCTTGTGGGTTTTTTTAGCCTTGTGTGGATCTGGAGTGGAGTGATCAAATAAACCATGGTTAAGGAAGGATGCTGGATCCACATGTAACTCCAAGCTGGATCCACATGTAGCACCAAACAAACTATGATTCATTAGCAGATGGCAAACTACAGCTTCAGATTGTGGTTTGATGGCAGTAAACAAACTACAGTTTATCTGCTGGGCAGTTTCACACCTAACACTAAGTTTTGTATTGATAAACCATAGTTTAATAAACTATGGCTTAGTGTTAGGGGCAAACTATGCCAGTGTAGGAGAAGAGGTAACTACAACTGAAAAATTTAACATTGTTCAGGTGTAAATATTTGGGATATGTTAGTTTATAATTGCATAGTTTTTTTGTGTGTAGGACAGTATCCATTGTAGGTTTCTCTTGCAATCCTTATATGATTCCCCTGCACACCTCCAGCTACTCTGCAACTCTCCATACCTGAGTAGAAATAGCCTGCTAACCCCCACATTGGCTCAATTTTCTATGGGAAGAGCCTCTTTCCTCTGTATCAAACTTTCCTCTGTGACCAAAGGGCCAAAGGTTTGCTCTTGCATCCACAACCTGCCTGTCTTGATGTTGCTGAGAAGGGTTGGCTCAAATAAATTCTTCTCATAATTGTGCTCTTTTTTCCTTCTGAAACTTTGGGAAACTGCATCATGAATGTGTCTTTAAATAAGCACACACACCCTCTTAAAATTCTTGGGCGTGGACCAGGCATAGGCAAACTCAGCCCTCCAGATGTTTTGGGACTACAATTCCCATCATCTCTGAGCAGTGGTCCTGTTAGTTAGGGTTCATGGGAGTTGTAGTCCCAAAACATCTGGAGGGCCGAGTTTGCCTATGCCTGGTGTAGACCTCCAGCACAGAACTGGTGAAGTTGGAGAAAGTTGAACTGACAGCATTTTATAGGATAGCTGGACGTTGGGCAGTTTGGCTCTTTGGAATCGTGGTGGCTGCTTGAAATTGCAATGCATGTTTGATTACTTGCTGAGTTGTTTGGATGGAGGTATCACAACACACAATATATTTCTAGCATGATCCCACTAACCCACATTTACAGTACTGCAGGAGTATTTGTTCACCATATCCAGTCTGGAGGCCACAGGTATCAAATAATGCCGCTTTCATTCTGGACAGATTTGAGCACACCAATTGCGCTTGTTTAGAGACCACCTGTTTCACGTAGATTGCACAAATACATAATTCTGCTCTGGATTCTACAGTCAAGCAGTATATAAATTATGTTAAATAAAATAAAATAATAATAAAAAATAAAATTTGTTACAATAGTGAATAGGCCTCCCTCTGATCTCAGCAGGGCTTCTGGTATATTAGTATAGTGCTAGAATTCTCTTTTAAAAATCTTTCTGGGTGAATCTTTTAGTGAAGCTATTTTATCCTCACCCCAGTTCTGCCAGTGCAAAAAGCTAGGTATATACATTTAGGCTGTGAGTGTTTCCCTTGCCACGACAAGAATAGTGCTGCCCTCAGGGAACCGCAATAGCGATCAGCATTTCTCCCACCTTTGAAGCTACTGAAGATGGGGTAGGGGACTACGACCCCCAACTCTGCACAACCACTGTTTCCTTCTCCAATGGGGATTCATTCACCACTGCTGGGTGGTAGTGCTCTGAGTGCTGCCATTCAGTATCAGCCAAACTGGTGCACACTCCACTTGTTTTCCCTGCAGAAATTTTGTGTGTGTGATGTGGTAGTGGGGCTTCAGTTGCTGGGAAGTGGAAATCCCTTGTAAAAAAACCCAGAATCTACTTCAAATCAGTGTTTTTGCACAATGAGAGAATTGGCAAGCACCAGTTCTCTTATTTTTACTGTGTAAGCTATGGAGGCTAATATAAGCTTTAATTTTTGGATGATTGTTGGGGGGGGGGGAACCCATGTAAAAATCATGCTAATTCAAGAGGGTCCATTTTAATTATGTGGGATCCTACATTACCAAAACCGAGGATATGGAGAAGCAAAATTTGCTTTCAGCTTCCCTTTGTGCTTTGTGTGTATTGGTGGCAGGAAGTGTGTGCTTTCTATGTTTTGGGGTGTGTGTGTATTTTGTCTCTTTTATTAAAGAGGTGTTTTTTGTTTGTTTTTGTTTTGCAATTCTCGGAGGTCTAAGAGGTATCTCTCTTAACCAAACAGTTTTTAATTGCAATCCAGGATTTCCCCTTCCTTGCTGTTGCAGCCTCACACAGGACCAAAAAAACAACCAAAACAAAAAACCAACCCTCAAAGAAATGAGGATGGGGAGAGGCAGTACTAATGGGTGGATGAATTTGGGAAGATAAGAAAGAATTTACAGAACCACAACCCACATCTAGCCTGTCCCCAACCCCTGGTTGGTTACGGGGCACAGTTTAGCTTGTGTTCATGCTGCAGCTGGTGGTGCTTCGTGGAGTTGGGCAGTGGGGTAGCAGCAGTAAGTTAAAAGGACCCCTGGACAGCTACGTCAAAGGCAACTATGGGGTTGCAGCGCTCATCTCGCTTTTCAGGCCAAGGGAGCCAGCGTTTGTCTGCAGACAGCTTTCCGGGTCATGTGGCCAGCGTGACTAAACCGTTTATGGCGCAACGGACACTGTGATGGAAGTCAGAGTGCACGGAAACGCCGTTTACCTTCCCACCTCAGCGGTACCTATTTATCTGCTTTTGAACTGCTAGGTTGGCAGGAACTGGGACAGAGCAATGGGAGCTCGCCCTGTCGTGGGGATTCAAACCACCGACCTTCTGATCGTCAAGCCCAAGAGGCTCAGTAGTTTAGACCACATTCCCTAGCAAGCAGTTACCCCAAGGCAGGACTGCTTACAACCTGGCTTCCGGCAGACTTATGAGGAAAAGGATGATAACCATTTCTTGTATGCTTGAGGGAAACCTGGACTGTGAAGAGCAAAGTACTATACAATCTAAACCAATTCACTTTAGACCTTTGGCTACAGTTTTAATAATTCTAAACTTTTATGTCATGATGTCAAGTAAACTTAATTTAATGTTTGATTAACAAGTATATTAGGTTCTATTAAATTAATTTAAGGAAGCTTATCCTGAATATTGGGTTCTAGCCTACTATTTCATTTTATCCTTCTTGACTGTACTGTCTCTGCCAAGCTAAGCCTGAATGGCAACTCACTTTAATCGGTTCTATGTAAGAGCCCAAGAACCAGTGGCAAGAGCTCTGGGAATACCAGATGTAGGCTAAGCTTCTTGTATTGAAACCAGTACAGTAGTCGTACCTTGGAAGTCGAACAGAATCCGTTCTGGAAGTCCATTCGACTTCCAAAATGTTTGGAAACCAAAGTGCAGCTTCTGATTGGCTGCAGGAAGCTCCAGTTTTAATTTTAATTTGTTTGAATTAATTGTGGGATGTATCTTAATTTATTGATCGCTTGTTTTTATGCATTGTCTTACTTGTATGATGTTAGCTGCTCTGAGCCTGGCTTTGGCTGGGGAGGGCGGGATATAAATAAATTATTATTATTATTATTATTATTATTATTCCTGGATGCTTTGCTCAAAAGATATCATGAGCTCATTACCTTTTTGGCTCAAAAAAACCCATAAGGGGTTTTCAATCATTAATAAATGTCAACAAAGATTTTGCTCTAATTAAACACATCAACTTTGCCAGCTCAGCCAAATCCATTAATTTCAATAACAATTATTCTATAGTAGGTAATAATGTGCTTATAACAATCTCCGCTGTGATCATATATTGCAATAATCTTCTATATTCATTTTCTAGTTGTATATACTGTACATTAGTCCCAGCAGGAAGAGCTTTGGAGGTGCAGATCTTGCCAACAATAAGTTACCCATACTTTGGATATAAGATTCATTTTTTGGGGGGGGCAATAGTGTCCCCCAAAAGAGATATAATGGTCTGTGGTCATAACAAGTTAAACCCGAACAGGCATGCAATAAATAGATCAGAGAGAGTTTTTCTGTGTTACTGAATAAGAAAAAGAAAAAGAGATAAATAATTCACATAAGGGGGATCGGGAGAGAGAAGATAAGAGAATCTCCCACCTTGGGGGGAAAAATAAAATCTAGGAAGAAGGGATTGTATTCAACATTAGGCATACCCAGAGCTGACCCATTTAAATTAAGGGATGTGACTGACATGTCTATTTATTTCAATTGATCTAATCCAATTAAAATTTAGTTTGGAAACACCCCTAGGTTCAAAACTAAAGGAAGATAAAATGTTATAAAGTTTCATTAAAGTCTGCAATCCCATGCACGCTTGCAACTTGCTAAGACTAAAACGGCTAATAAACTATATAGTGTCAGGTCTAAGGGTGACTAGATAAATAAGGGGGAAATTGTTCTTCTTTTTATTGGGCGGGGGTATTCATCCTTTCCCACACAACTGTAGTATTCTGGAAATCCCCAAGATAAGCTTTCTAATATGACTGTCTACCTATTCTGTATTTCCTCTTCTAAATTTCTACAGATAACTGATAAAGATTTCAAGTCTACAGATGACGTGTATGTCCCCTTATTTGTGCCAGGGAGTAAGCCACCCTGAACAGAAGGGGACTTTGTCTGAGTAGATATTCATAAGATGGTCGTATAAGTGAGCGTTATTTTAATATGTCGGGCACTATTTGATCAGTGCCCTTTTTGATAGCATATTCCACGCATCCCATTAAAAGCAGAAAGAGATGGTGGTGAGAGCTTATTCACAGGGTGGGTGGAATCCGGGTTTGTGGAATGGAAACTTTTGATTTTTAAGCATCAAGGCTTTGAACTCTTAGTGGTGTTATCTTGGCTTATCAGACCCCTACTAGAAACAAACTAATAAAATGGACTATACACTGCCTGCGGCAACTGGCTGGACACCTCACCCTAACCTCTGTTCTGCTTCAGAAGAGACGTTTCAGCAAGGTCCAGCAGACAATGCTAGACGAGCACATCTGTGTGCAGGCAAACACACCCATGTACACACAGGGAAAATTGGAGGAGCAAACACATGCATTTACAAGATGGTGCTTCATAGAGCTGGCAGTGGAGGAAGTATGGGCATTGCAGATCTTCATGCTCTAACTTAGATTACATGCAGTAGCCTTGGTCCTTTTTACGTATTGCTGACCGACACATACACCCACCATACCTGGCCGCAAAGCATTGTAGCTCTGCCCACACCTCAGAGGTGTCCCTATCTATCTTACGCACTTTTCTAAAGTGTTTCACTTGGAATCCTCTTCCAGGAGCATCTGGTTTACCAGAATTTTACTGGATTTATGGTTGATGTCACCTTAGAAAGAGATGGTAATAGCTGTCTCATACGAAAAAGAATACCACTCCAGGCTAACGGGATAAGAGAAGGACACCCCACTTTCTAACCTACTTTCAGTGACATGACAAAACTATAAATAGCTTCCGTATAGGAAAGAACTCCATCACTCATTATTTCTGAAAAAATGTACAAAATGTTCATTAGTTTTAGAGGAAATAATAACACTTTGCTAAACTCTACGCAAGTGACAACCATTGCATTAATCCATAAGAAAGGAACCATATTCACCCAAGGACAATTTGGATTCATATAGAACAATATCCATAATCAACTTAGTTGTTGTAAGAACAACAATTTTATTCTTTATGAAATCTGGCTGGGTTATCTCAGCCACTCTGTGTGCGGCTTCCATCACACACAAAAACACAAAACCCAAATATTAAAAACAATACAAAAGTTCTGGCATTGAAAACAGGAATATTTATTTACGGGGTTCGTGTTATATTCCGAATTAAAATTAATATATGATTATCAAAGAGGCCATAATAAAGGAAGGCATTTTGCAGGCAGAAGCCTGATTTAGATGTCACAGCCAAACCATGACTTGGCCAGTGTGAGAGCCAGTGTGGTGTGGTGGTTAAGAGCGGTAGACTCGTAATCTGGTGAACCGGATTCGCGTCTCTGCTCTTCCACATGCAGCTGCTGAGTGACCTTGGGCTAGTCACACTTCTTTGAAGTCTCTCAGCCCCACTCACCTCACAGAGTGTTTGTTGTGGGGGAGGAAAGGAAAGGAGAATTTTAGCCGCTTTGAGACTCCTTAGGGTAGTGATAAAGCGGAATATCAAATCCAAACTCCTCCTCCTCTTCTTCTTGGCCATCGTGAATGAAATTTGGATTTGTTTTCTTTCTGCTCCCTTCATGTACTTAACAATTCCATACCTCCCTATAGATTTGGATGTTATGGTGAACTATGGTGTATTGTAACATCCAGATCATAAGGACCACAGTTACAGCAAACCAAAGTTTGCTTCCTAACGTGTGAACCAGAAACCATGGTTTGAAGTAGCAGTATTACGATGGATGAACAAATGGTCTGACTTGAATGAAGTTTCTTTAAATCATTCTGATTGGTGTATAAGCTTGAACAAAAAATAATGTGCTGTTACTGTGTTGTGTAAACCAGGACGTTAAGTTGAATGGTAAGCAAATGTGGGTTCCCATGGGGAGCTCACAGCTGTTTTGCTCCTCTGTCGTTCTTTTCACTCTCATGCTGTTCTGAACGTTCTTTGGCCTAGCATGTCAACTGAACCTGTGCTACTAAAATATGGAAAACATTATCTTAGCAGGATTGCATTGTGTTTCAGAGTATTTTGTGTATTTTTTTGTATACACTTGTCCAAAAAGGATGAATGGAAACTGATTTGAGAAAATCTGATTACTTCCTCAGAAGAACATTGTTCTATTGTAAAGAGAGAATCTACTTTCAAATTCCAAATGATGGCACTAAATCCAGATTATTCTTCTTCTTTTTAAGTAACAAGCATCTTCTACCATGAAGAAAACGTGCAGCCATACTACTTGAAGAGTATTTATTTTACTTGGCCCTTTTCTATAAGTTTTAAAAGTGTAGCTGCTGGATTACTGGTGGTCAGGAAAAATATTCTTGTGCATTGATTTGATTTTTCTTTCAAGGCATTTGAGAGAGAAGACAGCAATAGGAGTAACATCTAAAGGGTTCTGTGGGCTGGAAGATGAGAAGGGAACAGCTTGTACTTCAACAAGGCGGCGTTCAACACCACGCAGTTTAGCAGGCTTGACCACAGGCGTGTTTGAATCCGTAATGGTTCAGGTTCTGAGACAGGAAGAGCAACTGAGAGCAAAAGAAGAAAAGAGGTAAAAGGCAAAAGTGGATTGTTTTTAGCTGTTCTTTCCTCCCCAACCTCAACCCCTCCTCCCCAATTTTGCTACTTTGGGAGATCAAACATACCACTCACTTCCCCATCATTTCTGCCTCGAAATTGACTTCTCAGCCTAGGAGTTCTATGTAACTGAACATCACATTTAGGCAGTCAAGCATTTGAAAATGTGTCCTGTGAATTAAGTATATTGACAGTCTAGAATAAGAAGAATCACATGGTTCTGTTCTTTATTCTATGTCTTCTCCTTCATATGTTACCTTGCATTTCATTATCACATTTCTGTTGTTTTGTAATGTATTTGTCATTTTGTGTCTATTAAAACTATATTTTATAGCAAAGCACTTCATATTGCAGGGAGAGTATTTACCTTCTCAGTTTCATTAGAATTTTATCATTATTTATCCAGGTATCAGAACACAATCAAACAATACTTAATTTGCTTTTCTTAATATGATGAATTGATATCCATGGATAATATTGGTATGTGGGGAAATTGTATATATTTTGGGAAGGTGGAGAAGGAAAGAGAGACTGAAACATAGGCGAAGTTACTGATTAGACAGACTGTCTTGCTTTGCTTCCGCAATTAAATAACGTCAATTATTATGAAGGCCTCTTCTCCTACTTCCACTTCTTTCAGAAGATGGGCTTCACTGCCCTGCTACAGTTCTCATTTGTTCTAATTCTTCATAGTTGGAAAATGCTGTGACTTAATGGCAAATGTTTACTCCTTTCTCAGAAATCGTTTTTTTTAATACAAATTTCATTTGAATTTGTATATAATAATACTAAAACATCCTGCCACGTGATTGGCATGCAGAAGGGGAAGCAGGAGAAAGGTTTTTTAGCAAGGTAAATGTGATAGTGGCTTGGCTGTAACACCAGTTTTCTGTGTTGTCACTGAATCATGCATCAGGTGTGGAGCATGGCAGTCTGACAACACTGTATCCCAGAACTACACACCTGACTAAAAAAGACACTTCTGACACATTTTCTCCAAGTCATGGTAACTCCACCTCAACATCCAGAAAGCTGTGTATGTGCATTAGCTTGAAACTAAATGGTGTTAGATTTTTTAACAAAACTATGTCTTGATTTTTATTGTTCGTCATGGAATAGTACAAAGACACACACAGAGAGAAAAGTACATAATGCAGACATTAATTCTGTCAACACAAATCATCCCCCCCCCCAATATATACAGATTGATATTTTTGCTGAAACTCAACTGGTCAAATACTGAGATTAAATTAAATATTCTGCTTTGCTTAGATTATTGATCTTGACAGTTTGGTGGTGATGCATGCTTTGGGTGCTTGGATGTGGTACAAGCAATTATTCATTGTGTGGACTTACCTATGTTTGTAGTAAGAATTGTAAATGTGGTGGTGATTGGACTGTTGTTGCACTGAAGCAGGTGGATCCCTACTGCAATTTTTGAGGCATGTGATTCTTGGCTGGAATTGCAGCCATATATGGAGAATTCAGGTTTTACAAGGGAGGCACATTTCACAAGGCATTATCGTGTCAGGACAGAACTTGTCAAATGCATTTGCACATTGCTTTAGTTCTCAAACACTCATTCCCTCCCCACACATAAAAATGTATTTTAACATCTCAGCAATAATTCTTTTACAGTAAAGTTGAGTATGGTATGCCAAAAGGAGTACCTGGGAAAGTGTGCTATGCTGTCTTTAGTGCTATGTGGAAGAGCAACAAATAATTTCTAAGGGGTGGCTTGTTAGACTTCTGTTTTGTTTTATTAAAGATTAAAGGTGTCTAATCTTTAGCATGTCGTGGGGGAACAAGTGACCATGTGTCAACTAACCATTTGAACTGCTAAAAGACTTAATATTTTGTTTAAACATCCCATAAATATTGGTATGTGAAATTAAGATTCAAACTTGAGAAAAGTCTATATGCATCAGCTTTGTTCTACCTTGCATTTTAGTTTCTGTGCTATTAATAAGTCCCCTTATCTGTATTATACTGGTAAGAATTTAGGCACATCAGTCGCATGCCATGAGGCCTAAACTTTCTCTTCTTGCTGATGGGTGGGTATGTGTTTGGCAGTGATGTTCTTGCAGTATTTTAGAGGGTTACAAGATGGATTCAATTTTTGTTGTAAATGGCTTTTTTATATATATATTTGTAAGTTAATTTGGTTATTTTAGTGACTTGTTGAAGGGAAATATCATCACTGCATTCAGTTGGGCGCATTGTCGGTGTAGTTCTCATGTTTGTGGTAATACCTTAGTATTAGTCTTTCTGTTTCTTGCTACATGTTCAACTGTGGACAGTTCACATGATCATCCTTTGGCTGCTGGTACAGAAGGCTCTATGTGTGAAAGGATTCACTGGGGGCACACAGAAGTGGAACATCAACTTTCAAAAGACATTTGGAATTCACTCTTCAGGCATGAAAGAGCAAACTCTTGTATAGCAGTGTGTGAATGGGTCATGTGATGCCAAATTAGGATGAAAAGTAGGCTGAGGTCCAAAGGACTCTTGAAACACACACAAACTTTACCACTCTAAATTTCCATGTTACCTGACAAGTTGCTCACAAAGCATTTCGCAGAAACATCTGACGCAACACAAAGAGCTGCAGTCGGGGTGGGGAGGCAATGCAGACATGTATCTGACCTATTCTAAGTGAATTTGTTTAGCAACAGAGTATCAATCTTTTTTAAAAAATAAATAAAAAGTATTTCAAAATTGCTTTTTGCCCTTCAACGCTGTGATTTATTTGGGCATGATTGGGCTTTTTTTGTAGCGTTTTCTAACATGGAAAGTTTTCCGTGTTCTGATTTTACATGCTTCACTTGCACTTAGTAAGTATACATAGTTAACCATAGTTTAATGTTCTAGCATTATGGGAATGAGTCTGTTTGAATCTCAGGTTTGGGCTCCCTTTCCCTCTTGGCATATAAGGTATGAGATTGGAAGCATTTAAACTTCAGTTTCATCATTTTAAAACTATTTGCTCTTGACACCTTTCACTAAAACATAGATTAAACGAACCACAGTTTGTCATTAGCCACATTTAGATCTTAGCAAGCCTTTTGGTTGTGCATGTGGCTTCTTCATGTGAGTGAATAAGCCAGGAAGTTTTCAGTAAGAATAGTTTCAAGTTTTGTACAAACTGGGAAACTGTGGTTACCAGCCTTGGAGCAGGCAAGAATATTAAGCATATTAATATTATACTTCATAGTATGGCTTCATGTCGTGACTTAGTTTCCCTGCTTGACCTTAACAGAGTATCGTTAATTAAAGAGTTCTAGTTTGTTTACTGCCCCTGCAAAAGAGGAATAATAATAATAATAATAATAATAATAATAATAATTTATTATTTATACCCCGCCCATCTGGCTGGGCTTCCCCGGCCACTCTGGGCGGCTTCCAAAAGAATATTAAAATACTATAATACATCAAACATTAAAAGCTTCCCGAAACAGGGCTGCCTTCAGATGTCTTCTAAAAGCCTGGTAGTTGTTGTTCTCTTTGACATCGAGAGGTGAGAGGCTGCATTTGTGCCCACGAGGCTTGCTCATATCTTGGCTTATAATGATAATCAGAACTAGGCCATTGTCTGACATAAAAACAAGCTCCAGTTTGTTATACCTGGAAGCATCCACTTACCATTGACCTCAGTGGAACTGACTTCTGAGTAGGCATGTATAGAATTGTGCTGTTAATTTGGTTCAAACACTCTGTTTAAACAAATTCAAAGTTGTATTTCCTTGAAATACCTGTAACCCCTTGAAAAAATGACAATAGCATGTGATCCACTTATTTAAATCTTAACAAATAGAGAAGCCAGTGAGAATTTTACATATTAATTCCAGCACATCAAAAGAGCTTTGAAAGAGATATATGTATGCTTCCTAGAGATAGTCACTTGAAGAAGTTAATTACAGCATTGAAAGTGATGAATTAGACTGGTACAATAGCTGTTTGTTATATTACATATATCTATCTATCTATCTATCTATCTATCTATCATCTCAGGAATTTTTCTGTACAAGTTATGATGCAGTTCTAAGCCAGGATGAAATTTTCCTATATTTTCTGGCTGTAGAAGAAAAATAAGAACAAGAAGGAGTACCAAACCCATGGTTAGCATTTAGGTCAAATTATACTTGCACCAGCCCTTAGGATCCTTTGTCAACATGCCTGGTTTCACAATACAAATAATGCCAGTCGGTCATATTAAGAAACTGATTAGACACTAGCTTGGAATCCGATCTATTAAAGCTGTTTTTATTTGTTTGCTTTAACATGTTTCACAGCTGTGAAAGCAGCTTAATTTTCCTATAACATACTCAACCAGCTATTTAGATAGTGCCCCGAAGGAGGAAATGTTTATGTTTCATTTACTGAAAATAGTAAATGTTTATAGTGTAATATCTGGTTACAAATGAAATTAAAAACAAATTTGAAATATATAAGTGAATACAGTTATGGGGAAAGCGAATGAACATTAAAGTTTTATAATCATAAAAAAGGATGTATTTTGAGTTTAAGATGTGACCAAGTCAGAGTTAAAGCACTATTACTTTCTATTATTTGTAGTTGGAGACTCTTAAGAATGCTGTATTCAGCCTAGCTTATTGATCTGGATATTTTTCTAAACGAGAGCAAAGTAAGATACTGAAATCCAAGTCGTCATGAAATTCTATCTTTAATCAAGATTCAATTGTACATCATAAAATGAAATAAAAAACTTTTTTAAAAAAAATCAAGCTGAAATTGGCAAAACGTAACTCTGGTTGCAAAGCACGGCTTTCCTATTCTTTTCCTCATTGCAGCCTGCTGAAAAGCTGCTCCTGATAGTCAAGGGCCCCTTTGGAATGGTATGCAGTGTGACACCAGTGGTTGTAGCAGGAAGAGAGAGGTGGGGAGAGAACACCTTGGATTAGTGGAAGTGCTTTCCTATTGCGCAAAGCATCATTAGCTACAAGCATGTCTTTCTAGTTTATAGCATGGTGTGTGTGTGTAGGAACAGTCATGCACACTCTTACTTGGAAGCAAGTCGTATCAACTTGAGTGGGAGTTGCTCCTGAGCACGCGAGGCAATTAACAATGCTGTGTGTTCTAACAATTAATATTTCTTTATTGAACAGCAAGCATTGACTTGCCGTATAAGCACTTTTCTCTCTTTGTCTCTACCCGCAGGCTAATGGCCCCATGGCTCCTGCCTGTAGATATTGTGGAGTATAATTTAGGATCATAGACAGCTGCTTTATGCCAGACCAGACTTATTGTCGGTCTAGCCCAGTATTATCTACCCTGAGTGGCAGCAGCTCTCCAGGGTCTCAGCCAGAGGTCTTTCCCTCACTCTTACCCCAATACTTTCACCTAGAGGGGCCAGGGATTGAACCGAATACCTTTTGTTTGCAAAGGACGTGCTCTATCACTGATCTATAATGACCCCTTCGCTAAAACTCCCCCAATTTCACGCTGGTAATTGTCCAAATTATAGACAGCTGAACATGAATGACTGTTATAAAGGCTTGGTTCCAGCACACAGGATAATTGGACAAGTGCTAGAGCCCAGAAAGGCCCACTCTTGCCAGGCTACTGCCAGTCTTTGCCCTGGGCTGCTGCTTAATTATGCTAATAAGTGGCTGCTGTTGCGAACAGACTGCATGCCTGCTCAGGGGGCATAAACATGGGGACAGTGGCCTGAAGGTGATGCTCAGCAGTGCTCTGGGCCTTTGAGCCAGAACTCATCTGCACCATCATGTGAATTATGTTGGCTCCACCCCATTGTGTGCATGTTGTGGCCAGTGGCGGATTGAAATGGCGGCTCTGGCAAGTCCAGGTTTCAGACCTGGCAATCCATTCAGTGCCACTATGGCAGCCAGGCACAGCACTTCACTTCCTGTGGAAGTAGACTGCCAATCAGAATTTAGCAAGTGTGCTATGCACAAGTTATAGCCCCCATTTCCTTTCCTTCTCCTAGGCTGATGAGGCAGAGTTAAATGCAGTATAGATTTGAAGAGAAATAGCCATTTTCTATAACATCGTGCTCTATAAACTTTTTGGCATAATTCTCTCTAATGGCAAACTGTGATGGTGAGCACTGCCAAACTTGTAACTATGGCAGGGACACTGAGGAATAATCTGCCTGATCAGAGGAGCTCTGATGTTAGCAGAAGTACAAAAAAGCTCTTTTAAAAAAGAACCAGGGGCACAGTTGTTGGCATCCATATGTCTCAGGAGACAATAGAGGAGTGTGCCTTTGGGGGTGAAGTCAACTCTACAGCTGTAGAGACCAATACAGAAGAGACATGTTTTGTTGCAAGTGTGGCAGATGAAGATGTCTGGTTGTGCTGCTGTAGATGCAGCATGGTATTTCTTCTCTGTGTGCTCCTTCCAGCCGTCATTACTCGTCTGGTCACTGCTATGGATGCACAACCTGGTTGCCGGTCTCCAGACACTGCAGTCATCTGCAAGGGATTCCCACACAGTGGAGTTGATTTGCCAGCCTTCATGTCATGTTTGCAGACATCTTTGTAATGCAGAGCTGGTCTGCCAACGTGCCTGGTGCCTGAAGGCAGCTCCCCATAGAGTACATCTTTGGGAATCCTGCTATCTTCTATTCTGTGGACATGACCAAGCCAGTGTAGACGTCGCTTGAGACAGGAATGAAAGCATGCAGGGATAGTGGGCTTGGGAGAGCACATACTTGTTTGAGACTCTGTTCTGCCATGTGATGCCCAAAATCTTCCTGATGCAGTGCATGTAGAAGGCTTTGAGGCATCGTTCCTGGTGGTTGTAAGTTGCCCATGACTCCCTTCCATAAAACAGCATGCTCAACACGCAAGCCTGGTAGACCTTCATCTTGGTATTGGATGTTAGCATCACATTCTCCCATACCCTTTAGGAGAGGTGAGCCATAGACACATCCAAATATCCCAACAAGAATTGAGCATACTTAATAGCCATGGAGTGCTGTGTCAATTGTAAAACAGAAAATACAGGAAGAGGTGAGGCTGAATGGTGTTCTTGAAGGGAAAGATTGACTGAAACCCTGAGCATCAGCAGTACTGTTAGGAGGAGGAATACACCACAACATTTTGTTGTAGGTTCCACTTCTTCTTTCTTATTGGTTAATGGTGTGCATGTGGAAGAACTGAAAGGGGAAAAGTCTTCTGCTGCATTTCCATTTTCTGTAGAACTAGGTATGACATGTAGAACTTATATAACAAATATATGAAATGGAGAATAGAATATCAAAACAGTTGAATCTGATTAGGATTTTAAACATGTTAATTGATGAATAGCTACCATGACCAGTAGCAACAGGGCCACATAAGTGCCAGTCTCTACCATTTCAGTAGCATCTGGATTTATATATTTCAGCTCTGTGGTGTTACCAGTAAAAATCTTTATTTCTCCAAGTATGCTTTCTTTATTGCTTTTAGAGAGACATTTTATTTTTATTTTTTTTCTTGCTGCCTTTAATACTAAACCTGACTTGTTTTGCTTTCTTAGGCTTCGAGAGCAAGAAAGAAAAGAGGCAGAAGAAGCTAGCCAAAAAGAAATTGAAGAATGGGAGAAGTCTCTTCTGTCTCAAGCATCACCTACTCGGATGGAAAACATGTGGGAAATCCCAGCTATTGGTCATTTCCTTTGTTTAGCACAGCATATTTTAAATTTGCCTGAAATAGTCTTTTATGAGCTAGAACGCTGCCTTCTGATGCCTCAGTGTAGCGCTTTTTTGTCTAAAATAATGACTTCTTTGTTAAGTCCTCCTCATCGGAGATCTGCCTTGCATCGAAGGCCAACGCTTCCTTACAGGACTTGGGAAGCAGCACTTAAGCAGAAAGTACAGCAGTGGTATACAGCTGTGGGGCAAACGGACAATCCTGACAGCTGCGCAGAGAAACTTGGTCTTTGTCCTCAGTTTTTTAAAGTCCTTGGGGAAATTAATCCTTTGGAGGAAAAACCATTTCATGAGCTCCTGTTTTGTCAAAAGGTATGGCTGCTGAAAGGCCTCTGTGACTTTGTGTATGAGACCCAGAAAGATGTGCAAGATGCAGTACTCGGGCAGCCTATCCACGAATGCAGGGAGGTGATACTGGGTTACGATTACTTAGAGCATGCCTATGTTCACTTCCCACAGTTCTGTGGTGCAGATGTACGGATTTACAAGCAGAAACCTTTTCATGCCCCAGAGTTTCCAGCTCCTCCCATTAAGGTGAGAAGAGTACCGCGGATTAAACTGGAGAAAGTGAAATGTGAATATGTCTCCAAAAGCAATGGCGAAGTTAGACTCAGCGCTAAAGAAGAGCTGCCTTGCACAAGGGCAGAATCTGGAAACAATATCGGCTTAGCAAAGATGCACTTGGACTGCTTGGATGTGGCCCCAGAAAATGGCACGAATTCCAACTGTGAAGAGAAAATTCGTAGGGACTGTGACTTTACAATAGATTGCTATAAAGAAAATCGAGATAAAGCCATTGTTCCAGGAGATGATGTTAACTTTGGGGGGCCCCTCAGCCCGGGAGAAATCAGGGTTGTGGAAAATGGGGAGAAATGTGGTGAATCTTCTGTAGTGAAAACCGAGACTACCCCGTTAAAGGAGAACACTCTTAAAACTTGCCAGATGCATGTGAATGGGAATCACAGCGACAATCCAGACATGAATTGCCACAAAGTTGCAAAAGAAGCTACGTCAGAGAATTCTGTAGAAAACAAAACACTACAGTTTACTAAAGTGCGCGCAAAGAAAAAGAAAAAGAAGAAAAAGAAATTGAAAGATATTTTGAATGAAAGCCTTCAGAGAAAGCGTGAGATTCACCTCCACTCATTGAAATCGTATAAACCTGAGATCCAGAATAAGTTGCTCATGATGAAGAAGAAAGCCAAACACAAGAAGCACAAATCGGGTAAGGTGATTTGAGCAAATACCTTTATTTCGGTCCTTTGCATGCACAGCTGCGGAAAAATTTTAAGTGTCTTTGTACTTAAAACATTTGATTTGGGCTCGTTTAAAAAAATGATTCTGATACTTAGGAATTTACATTGCTTTTTCCAGCCCTGTTTTAGTAGCCTGTGGTAAAAAATACCTGACTGCTCACAGAAGATGGAATGAAAATTCCAGATTACAAAAGAAATGTTACAGGTGCTTCAACTGGCAGTCAGTCATTGGGGAGTTCTTTAGCATGAAGCTACATAGGTATCAATATAGTTTTCCTCGTAGGGCAAATACGAGCGCAGTTTACATTGGTAAATTGAATTGGGTTGGGGAGTGAGAAGGAGTTATGTGTCTTTCATTGATCCAGTTTGCCACCCCACCCTGTGGCTTTGAATTGAAAAAAAAATGGGGGATTATGGGAGCTCCACAATCCAGTTGCAAAGTACAGTGGTGCCTCGCAAGACGAAATTAATCCGTTCCGCGAGTCTCTTCGTCTTGCGGTTTTTTCGTCTTGTGAAGCACGGCTATTAGCGGCTTAGCGGCTATTAACGGCTTAGCGGCTTTAAGAAAAAGGAAACAAACTCGCAAGAACTCGCAAGACGTTTCGTCTTGCAAAGCAAGCCCATAGGGAAATTCGTCTTGCGGAACGACTCAAAAAACGGAAAACTCTTTCGTCTAGCGAGTTTTTCTTCTTGCGAGGCATTCCTCTTGCGGGGCACCACTGTAACCTTTATTGAGACCAAACAAAATGTCACAAAATTGTGGCAAGTTTTCACGTTCTGTTATTCAGGCAAGATCCACAATGTGTGTGGGTATGGGGAGGAGCAGGAAAAGTCACCACTCATTATCCACCCTGGTTGGGATTAAAGAAGAAAGAGCAATTAATTTGGGTGTGGACAGTGGGAGAAGGAACAATGAATAAGGTTAAAAAAAAGAGCCTTTTAGTGTGTGAGAGAGAGAAGGGGGGAGGAGAAGGGACAGAGCAGCAGAAATAATTTGCAACAATTTTCATATGCGGACATTGTAATTAAAGGTTGTTTAAAAGTATAAATAATGTTTAGAAAGTGTGTTCTCCCCACCCCCACAAACACTAGAACATCAGGATCATCCATCCAGTGCAATTGGCAGTAGGTTGAAAACAGAAATACTATACTGTTTTTTTCATACAATGCATAATCACAATTAAGGTATGCATTACCATATAATGGGGTGATGGTTGCTAACTTACATGGCTTTGAAAAATAATTAGACAAATGAGTAGATGTTAGACGTATCTTACGTTGATTAGCCATGATGCTAAATCATTCCCAAATATTAAGAGACAATATATCTCTGAAAAATCAAGTGCTATGGATAAAAACAGGTGATGATTGTTGCCCTTACACCCTGCTCCTGTGTTTTCCTGGAAGCATTTGGCTAGTCACTGCTATTTACAAAATTCTTCTTTCAATAATTCTTCTATTTTTCTATGATCCCTGAGGAGTTGAAGTTAGCATCCTTTCTCTCTGGAGTTGTCCCAAGAGAGAGACAATTCTGTACACCTATCTTTTGTCAGGTGGAACAATAAATAGGTAACAATGGGAGTGATATTACCTATCATAGGGATTATTGAATGTCTCTTACAATAGATGCATGCTTGTTAGTATCATTAACATGAAACTCTATGTTGCTACCCTGTTGTACACAACTCCAGAGGGGATATCTTTCATGAATATAAAGTATTTTTTAAATAGGTGAGATAGGGGGTGTATCCTCTGTTTTTAGTGGTCCCATACAGCTGTATGCCTGGTTTACTTCCTTTAATACTTATTTGCTCTATGCAAAGCACATTGATGACTCAAAGTAAGTGATTGGCTTTAGGGCTAAGAAGGATTTCTGCTCTTATCAGTTGTGCAAATGCAGAGGACTGTGGATGTTTGTCTTTTTGAAAGCTTTAGGCGTTGACTCCTGGCAAGTGAGCTGACAAGCTTTTTGCAGGTAGAGAGCAGTATAGGTTGTTAAGGTGCAATTGTAATGTACGTATAAGATTTGGGGAAATTTTGTTTTTTAAGCGTGTTTTCAGAGTCGACAGACTCAACGTTCAGGCCTATGTCTATATAGTTCTCTTGGGAATATGAATATAGAGAGCCTATTGTAAGAGGCAGGTATAGTTTTGATATGGGAGGAGGAGTCACAATATGGAATTTGAGCAGAAGGATTACTAAAAAGTATTAAAATAACTTCTTGTATGTCTAATTTTATGCAAATGTTACTACTCAAATATACCTTCCTGAAGAGAGACTTATCACAGTTTGTTGGTTGTTACACAGTCTTTGTTACTATTTAATTTTCAAGACTTTATGTAATTTGAATATATGGATATATGGATATATAGATCTTGATATTGACAAATTCAATCTTTTTCTCTCCCTTTAAGGAAAGAAATCAATATCTAAAAAAGCAGTTACAAAGAAGAGGAAATCTGTTACGAAGCCTGCTGTTCCAGAATTTCAGGTAAGTGGTTCTTGTTTTTTTAATTAGTTTTGCACTGTTTTAATTCTTGTACTTCATGTAGTAGAAGGCAGAAAGCCAAGAAAAAGCATTTTGTTTTTCTCTACTGGGACAGATGAACTGAATTAAGCTGACTGTATATTCAGTTATGTATATTTTAGTTGATACTGATAGTAAAACATACTAGGATTTGTACTAGAATTACAACAGCTAGAATCCAAAAGGGCTGTGTGCAGTTTCATGCAAAATAACTAGGGCTTTTATGGGGTGTCTTCCCACCAGATCTATTCATCCCATGAAAAGCCACACATGAAAAGTCAGGGTTGCCTGACCTTCAGAACAGTAGGCAATGCAACATGTAGCGCTGTTTTTTGGATTCAGAGGGAGTGGGGAATGTGCTGTTTATGGATCATAGATGAATAGACAAATAACTTAGAAGGGAATAAATTCACTTGTGATGAATAAGCACTAATATCTAAAGTAAAAATATATTTTCCCAATTGTTGTGTTTTTTTTTAAATGCCAGTTGATACTGACAGTCACTATAAATGTTAGGATTAAAAAAAAGAAAATTATGCCAGTGTTTTCAGTTGTAACAACTCCTGGAACCAATAGATTGGACAATTCCCTCTTGTGTGTGGCGCTGTTTTAGCTACATAGGATCCACACTGGGAGAATGAGTTCCCTCTTGTTCTATGGGAAATTCCTCTCCTATGTTGACAAAATTACCAGATTATGAGTCCCATCAGTGGAGCCCTGCACAAGAGCTTCCACTTGTGCAGCAGGGCTTTCCCCTTCTCCTTCCACAGCAGGTCCCCCATACTCCCCAGAACTGCAGGTTGGGAGCACTCCCGGGACAGTTTGCAGAGGAAGAGAGGGGATTATTCTGTCTGGCAAATATAAATGTTTGCCTTTATGGAATGATCACCGTAGTGTGATATTTGTATCCTATTAGGTTTAGTCAAAAAGGGTGGGAGGGGGACAGAAAAAGTTGGCACTGACCTCTAGGTCTGTAACCTGACCTCTAGGTCTTTAATGGGGTTGCCAACATTTACTGGCTACTGCTGTTTCCTTGCCTGCAACAACCAGTTCACTGGGTAACATTAGCTATGTTGGTTCCCATGCCCTAAATTCACCCTGGTTTATTTCTGCAGGTTGCATGGTTGTTAAAGGTGCAGGAACAGGCCTAATTAAGATTCTTCTGGCCAAATGGCAATCCTAGTTTTCAAAAGTTGCAATTGAAAAATATAAATTCAGCAGATAAAGCATGCACAGTTGCTCCTGAATCTCTCCCTTGCTTTTTCTCCCTGAATGTTATAAACTATTAAAGGCTAAAGCCTGACCTTTGAGTACTTTCATCTCTACCTTTCATCTCCTTTCCCACCGCAAGTCCTTTTCTGTCCCTCAGACAGCCACATTCTGTAATTTTCCAACAGACCCTCCATGCCGGTCATTCACTCTCAACTCCACATTGCATTCCATTCTCACAGCATGTTTATACTGAGCATATGTGCAGGACAGCCTTATTAAATTCAGTTTATTAACATCGGCTATCAAAATGCCAGTTTAATAAAAACTACAAGTCATGGGTAATGGGACATGCCGGACGTTCCCCTTGACCTAACACAACAAACCATTTCCCAAAAGACTCAATACAGATGGGGAAATATTTCTCCCAAAACCACAACAGCAAAGTTTATGGAAGAAAGATGAACTGGCCAAAGTCTCTCACTAAAACTCATTCTTCCCAATTTTGGCATGGACCATCCTCAAACCTATGTCTCCTACACTTGCAAGTTTCAAATCAACCCATTAACTATTTTCTAACTTTGGATGCCATAGAACCGACTGTTGCTCATTATAATAGTGGAATGTGATTTGGTAGAACACCTTTAACCTAGGGTGGCCCTAAAATACATACATAATTTTATTTGTATGCCACTTTTTCATAGTTCAAACCATGCTCGAGGTGGCTTATAACATGAAAAAAATACATAATTCAACACATAACAAAAGTAGCCATAAACAATAAATAAAATATCAAAAAATATACAGCCAGATTGAACAATTTCCATATAATCATAATAAAGATAGAAATTAATATCAATAACAGCAACAGCTCCCGTAAGCAATACCCCAGCCCAAGAATCTCTTTAGCAGCCTCAGCTTTCGTAGCTAGAGTCAGTCAAGGCTCCCTCCCAGGCCAGGTGGGAAAAGACCTGCAAGGCAGGGAGCAGGTCAGACCCATTGACTTCTGAATAAATATGTATCAAATTTTACTGAATGTATTATATATTTTAAAACTCCCTGCTTGGCTATGTTATCTTTCCCCCCTCTTATTTCAGCTTATTTGCACTAATCTCGATGAACTCAGGGAATTAATTAGAAAAATTGAGAATGAACTCAAAGATGTGGAGAATGTTAAAAAGAAATCGGTATGTCTACTTTTTTCTTTTTTTAAAATGCAACATGTTTGGATGGATTATCACTTACAGGTGTTTTTAATTTGTGCCTTCTCCAGGTGAACATGGAAAACTTTTTAAAAGTTTCCACTGTGGCCTATTACCAGCTACTAGGAAGAACAATAGTGTTTGAGCAATACTCTAGGGCTTTTTTAGTCAAATAAAAGTTGGCTTGTGGCTAGCTATGAAGACCAGTGGTTCCTGAATAGCCAAGTATTGCAGACCCCCTGTTTTTTAAAAGGCAAGCCATGAACTCCCCACTTTTGGAAAAAAAAATATCTCTATGGTAGCTTTTGTTGTGTGAATGGTACCATGGACGCCCCCACACCCCTGTCGGTCATTGAGAACTGCTGCTGTAGACAAAGGGCTGTATCCAGTAAAGTTGCCCATTCGTGCAAGGACTTCTGCTTGCACAACGGAACTTTCCCTCCTTCTCAGTGCCCCAGGTAGAAGTTCCTGCACAAACAGGACAACTTCATTGGATATAACCAATAAGGTGTTCCTCTTCTTTACTCTCACTGCTGTTTTGTGAAGTGCTGCCTTTAATCAGTTGAATTTAGGTTGTTACCTTGCTGGACGTATCACGTTCATATGGTGCCTAGCACACTGTTCCAGTTTTGAATCTAAGAGAAAACCATGTGTGAGCCTATATGTCATCTCATATTGTATTAGAGTGAAAGTAAACTTCGTCATGCTCCATAGTTCTAGGGATATGTGGATATAACTTGTATTCTGCCCAATGAATACTGAGATAACCAACTGGGATATCATCCAACTGAATTACAAGAATTTTGAAAGAATTGTTAGCATGATAAGATGCCAAAAGGTTGATTCCAAAGGTATGCAACTATTCACAGTTGTAAATGGCTTTTAGAATTGCAAATCATGCAGTCAGGTTCCTGCAACTTTTTTCAGTAGTTACAGGTTCAGAGAAATGTTCCTGCTGCTACTTTACTGTTAAGTGGAAGAGATCTGTTGAATAGGGCAAAGGTGTGTATTTGTGGCAAAACTGCTGCCCCAACCTGCTTGTTTCATAGATATTAACTTGCTCCTGTGTACTGTATATGTATATTTGTATATGTGTCATGGAGTTGCATGGGTTGGAACTTGAAGAATAAATAATTTAACTGGACAGTGGAACTTACTCTACAGAAGAGTAGTTGATACGTCTTTCTGTACTTTTCTGGTAGAATGTAGATTAACAGGTTAATCATATGCATGTTTACTCCAAAATATGACTTCATTGAGTTTTATGGTACTTGCTTCCAAGTAAGTGCCTAGAATAGCATTTCAGGTGTAAAGTCCAGCAGTCTTTTTCCTAAGCCCTTGAGAATCCATATGTACAACTTCTGCCTGCTTTGTGTTTACAATATGATAGAAATTGCAGGCAAGCTCACTCTAGTTAAATATTAATCTACAATAGTTCTATATTGTATTTGTTTTCCATCACCAATCTTTCATCCAAGCTCCAGTCTATGTTTTTCTTACCTTGCATTGCTGACATCTCAGTTCACAATACATTTGCTTTAAACACTGCTTTAAAACACACACACACACACACACACACACCCCTTTCAATTCAATTAAGTTACCATTAGGTTTTTGCAGGAACAAGTTGATATTCAGAACTTAAAAGCAGGACAGTCTCATTTGGGATCAAATCCTGTATCTGTTGAACCAAATGGATTTAAGATTGTGCTGTTAAACACGCATGAGCATTTAAACCTAAATTTAGGGTCCTGTCATGTGCCATTGCCACACCCAGGTCTGTGTTGATTTGTTTTTATTAATAAATTTGCTTCAAAATATTTGCCCTCCTTTCGGAGGCTTCATACGCAGTATTAAATTCCATATTCCATCTGCTTTTAAAATCTGTTATCATTAGGGCTGGGCGATATGATCCTATGCCCTTTTAAAATGTGGGGGTTTGGGGGGGGGAGGGGGTTGGGTTGTTTTTATTTTGATTATATATTTTGTGGTTCTGTATTTTGATTTTGTTCTGTGAACTGCCCTGAGACCTCCGGGTATAGAGTGGTATATAAACAATAATGATGATGATGATGATGTCAGCTTTTCAGCATCGCAATGTATCACCAGTGATACATAACAATGTTGAAAAGTGGAGGGAGGAACAAACTGCATCAGCCCTGCAAGGCGCCAGGGTGAAACTGCCTCAGCTTCCTTGGCAGGAGTTGCGGCAGTTTCACCCTGGCTGTTCGCAGGCCAATGCAGCTTGTTCCTCCCCCCGAGCACCAGGTGCTGGCAGCAGAGGGAGTCAGGCGGAGGCAAACTCCACCCCCAGTATACTCCCAGTTGAAGGCACCATCACACTCTGGCCCTCAAACCGGTCCTGGGCGATGTATCAATACATCACCCAGGCCTAAGTTCCATATTCTTATGTTCACCTTCAGATTTTCTAGACCATTCACTTAGATTTCACTGCATACTCCAAAAGGAATTCAAAGGGCTCCCTGTAACTGCTGATTGGCAGTTAAAGCGACCTCTTTTGAACTTTTGACAAGTGTCAATGGCCTGCCATGGCTAGGCAAAGAATTGGGAATCTGCTAAGAAAGAGGTATGGAGAACAGCAGAGGTAGGTCACAGATATGTTGAGCATATAATTCATTTAAATTTGTCAGCGAGCCTATTTGTAGGTTCAAATTTGTAGGTTCAAATTTGTCAGCGAGCCTACTTGGCCCAGGTGGTCAGTTCACTACCGAGCGACAAGATGACTAACAAGTAGTGGCGGCAGGTCAGTTGACGTTTCAGTTCAACATCTGAAATTAGTCTTGAGCTGTAATCAAACTGCAATCCACTGTAATCCGAAGTACTTTCAGAATAATGGCAAAGTCCTGTGCATGGCAACCCAGACGTATACTCCATTCATCTTCTTTTGTATAGAATTACAGCCTAAATCATCAGACCTGTGGGTACTTTGTCCTAGGAATGAGCGGCTGTTTAAAGTTTCAGAAAAAATGGGCATTTCTTAGTTGATTTCCTCGCAATCTAAATAAAGATGTTTTCACCTTAGCTTTCTATTCATGACATTTTGAAATACAGTGGTGCCTCGCAAGACGAAATTAATCCGTTCCGCGAGTCTCTTCATCTTGCGGTTTTTTCGTCTTGTGAAGCACAGCTATTAGCGGCTTAGCGGCTATTAACGGCTTAGCGGCTATTAACAGCTTAGCGGCTATTAACGGCTTAGCGGCTTTAAGAAAAAGGAAACAAACTCGCAAGACGTTTTGTCTTGCGAAGCAAGCCCATAGGGAAATTCATCTTGCGGAACGACTCAAAAAATGCAAAACCCTTTCATCTAGCGAGTTTTTCGTCTTGCGAGGCATTCGTCTTGCGGGGCACCACTGTATGTATTTTTGCTTAAAAGGACATATCTGCTAGCTCCTGCAGTTTTACACTTGCAAATATGTTTTTGGGAGTAGTCCAGTGCCACTCAATGGAAAGGTTATTTTGGGGGGGCATAAAATTTCACAGTAATTTACCTATGAGTTACTTTTCTCCTGTTGTGGTTTTCAGTGGGAGCCGTTTTTAATTTAGGTATTTATTTGTATATCCTCTCAATGCTGGTCACATAATAAAACAGATGAAAAGAATAAAACAGAAACCTCTGGTCTTACCATTGTGAAAATAAATTGGAGGAAAGTCTGTTGATATATTATTGTACTATGAAAAGATTGTACTGTGTATCTTTATCACATCCAAACGCACTACAATAATGTCCTATTTTTATGTATACAGGGAAGGTGGTATCACCGAAAGCAAGCTGTAAAAGAACTACACTGTACTCTGCTGCGACTGCTCAATGAATTGCTACCATGGGAACCAAAACTAATGAAGGCTTTTCAAAGAAATAGGTAATTAGCTGTTTTAAATAACGTGAAATGTAAGGACTCTGCACCAGTTATCTTGTTTTGCGATTGCTCTCGTGGTACAGACAAGAAGCCTGACATTTTAAGGTACTTCCCAGCTTAGACAGTGATGGGTCTAGGTAATTATGTCACCAGATCTGTGTCTCTAGCCAGAATTATCTAGTTTGTTTTTCCCCCAATGATTTTGTTATTGCAAATTCATTAAAGAAAAAAAGAAAAAGAGACTGAGAGAAAACAAAGAAAGGAAGAAGCACAAAAAGAAAACCCCATCAGCTCACATGAATGATACATTTAAACATCAATAAACATCTTAATTTACACATATAGATCAATGTGCCACCCATATATTTATACAAGCAAAGTATGCTCAAATGTAGCAGTGACATTAGGGTCATCAGACCATTGTGTAATAAATGGTGGATATTTATCTTTCCAGGCTTGAAGTAACTCGCTTAATGACCATTTAGGCTGTGTAAGATCCTTTATTGTCCTGCCATCACCATACAGCAGGAATATCATGTCAAAGTCGTTCTTTCTTGTGATGTTTTGTTGAAGGTCTCGGTTAAAAAAGGATTATGATGACTTCAAAAAGCAACCAGATCATGATAAATTTACAAGAGAACAGTGGACTAATGAGGATGGTGAAGTAAACACTGGCATGGAGGTTTCCACTAAAGCAACGAGTGAGTCCCCTGAGTACAATGAACTTCTGAAAAGGGATTATACAGATACAGGTAAGTCCTTTGCTAGTCATTGTGAGTACCTAGGCACATACAGCAGTCCTTGCATATGGTTCTTATTTTAGTCAGCTGGAGAGTTTGAGTGGTACAACTCAGCCCAGTTCCCACCATAAAATTTGTGGGGTGCTTATTTATTAGGGGGCAAAACTCAGCAATTTATCTAGCTTTAGGGTCTCGTGAGGATTTGAGTAGGATTGAGCACAGCTGTGCTCACTCATTCCTGTGAACAGTTGCTGCTGCCTCCTTTCCCCTGAAACCCAACAACTTACATTTGGGGAAGAAGAAAACAGAGAAGATATCCCCAGTAGAAGAAGCCATGGCCCTGGGAACACCTGCTGTCTTCCCTTTTCCTTCCTCCAAAGGTGTGTTCTTTGGTTTGGGGAAAAGGGAAATTAGCAGAGGCAGGGGTTTTTGAGTACCTTTTAAGCCTTTTGCAAGTGTTCAATGGGCACACTTGCGAAAGCTCAGCCTATTTCAGGGTAAATGGTGGGATGTTCATGAGTCGCCACTATTTTTGATTAAAAGACTTTCCAACTTAAGCAGTGTGGTCTTTTACTAAAGAAGCTTTACTGTCAGTTAAAACGTAGGTATCTGAATTTAACATCTTGGAAAACATTCACAATTTTAGTTTGTAACGACATACATACACACATATATATCCATACACACCCCCTCCGAGAAACTGCTTCCAACACATATACAAACATAATAAAACATCAACCATTAATAGTAACAGTGTGATCCAATCTAAAAAGTCACAATAACTTTAAAATAAACAACTTGTATCAAATAAAGCAATATTCAACAATCCATTAAAACCTAATACTAAACAGTAAAAATAACATCAGCAAATAGTAATTAAACAGTATTGACTTCCTAATGAGGTCTTATGCCAGTACAGAAAATGTTAGAAAATGTAATTGGATATAGATTAAGTTACTGTCTTCTGAAACTGTGTAATTAGCAAGTTCTTGATGAAATAAATAAATAAATTAAGAATATTCTCAGGACCTCCTCCTATTGGTTGGAAGGGTGGTGTAAATATATTTTACATTGACAGAGCCTCCACCAACAATAAAGTTCTAGAAACATTTTAATTTAGCTTTTTAAAACTTCCCTTTTGCTTTCTTCTCTCTCTAGAGGACATGAAACTGTCAGAAATGGAACTTGCTGCAGGAAAATCCAGACTGTTAAGGAAAGAACTGGCTTGCAAAGAAATACAGAAGATGGTGCCTAAATCTTTTAAACGCCAGTCCAAGCAAAACAGTTACCTAGATGATAGCACAAGAGAGTTTTCACCAAGGAAAAAGCTGAAATTAAGCACAGGTGATACCACAGTCTATGGTATGGAAAATGACTTGTCAATTGATGGTGGCTTGAATAAACCTAAACAAACAGAATCCTCATCTTCAGAATCATTGGACACGACAGACTCACCACCATCAATATCAAGCTTAATAAAAGGGACCAAACCCATCCAGGCCTTGCTTGCTAAGAATATTGGGAACAAAGTGACCTTAACAAGTCAGCTTCCACCTGCTGCAGGTAGAAGCATTTCTACGTCTGAAAAACTGATTATGTCAACTATAGGTTCTTCCCCAGTCAAACCAGTGTTGCCCTGCCAGGCCAGTTCCAAGAGCCCATTACAAGTGTTATACAAAATACCCGATGGCCACTGCATGCCAATAGACTTGCATAACAATTCACTGAAAATTCAGGTGCAGCCTGTGGCCGATTGTAAACCAGGAGAAAAAACCACAGGAGAGAAACTCATGCAGCAGGTCCTTATTTTGCCTAAAAATTTCCTTATCCACCACAGAGAGGGTAAAAGTGTCGCAAAAGAAGTTCCGCCGTTGCAGCAGAAGACTAATGAGCAGCACCGTCTCTCTCTTCCACAGTCAACAGCTGTCAACACTACTTTAGCTCCTACCTTTCCAGCTTCGGTTATAAATGCTGCTACTGCGTTTCTCCCCGGCACAAATTTTAAAAAGAATACTACACATTTGCCGCAAGGAGCTAATGCAGCCAAGAGTCTTTCGGCGTTGCCCTCTGTATCAGCCACAGGCAACGTGTTGGCGTCAGTGGTGAAAATGAGCCAAAGTGAGACTACTAAAACTAAGACTGTTGTTTCAGGTACCTCATTCCCTGTCACTTCATCTACAGTTCAGGCGCTGACAACAACACTACCATCAAGTGTTTCTACTTGCACCAGCGGTTCCTCCCCAAGACTAGCATCCCCGCAGAAAAGTGACGCCGACGAACCTAAACAGGAGCTGAAAACAGTCTGCATCAGAGATTCGCAATCCATCCTTGTTAGGACGCGAGGTGGGAACACAGGAATCGTTAAGGTGCAGACAAATTCAGACCAGATTTCCCCTAGTAACTTATCTCCGGGTTCCGTTTTCACATACGCACCTCAGCTTCAGGCATTTTTAGTGCCAAAATCCACACAATTGTCAACCTCTACCTTTTCGGCTGCGACAACAGTCGTATCTAATATCCCAGCACTTATCCAGTCCTCTCCCACAACTTCTGTTTCCATTCCAGCTGTTCCCAGTGGTGTAAGTCAGGGAATAGGGAAAAACATGATGTTTGCGTTTGGGCAACCAACAAACAGTGCTACGGTGGGTCACGGAATGCAAAAAACTGCACATGTGTCCTCTCCCACTTTCTTATCTCCAATGTCATCATCTAATATCGCCATGCCGGCACATCCTAACAGCTCTGGTAATGCAAATAGCATTTCGCCGGGTAATAGTGGGCAGAATGCCATATGCACTACCCAGGCTTCTTTTATTAATCAGCAAGCTGATGTAAATAGTATGAACTCTCCGGTTACACAGCCTGAGGCCACACCTATAAGCAGTGGAAGTGTTGTGAGTGGCACTCAAATTCAAAAACTTATGTTGGTCACAAATCCCCCCCTTCTTCCCGCTTGCGGAACTGCAGGAGTCAACCTCGTCCCTGCTCCAACATCCACTGGCATTACCGCCCAGAAACTGGTTTTCATTAATAGACCACTTGCCAATATTCAGTCAAATACCGGTTTGACCGCAGAGCCCTTTAAACAGACCTTCTCTCCTTCGATGGGAAAAGCATTTGTTAAAAGCACAGAGCAGCCTCAGTTAGTCCTGATTCCATCTACCGTGGGAGCACCACTTAAAGTTAATACATCGCCAACGGTTTCTCAAATAAAAGATGTGAAAATAGGACTTAATATTGGTCAGGCCATCATAAATAGCACAGCTAATGCACCAAGTATTCCACCAATTAACATTATACAATCGGCAGCTCCCAAAGATGCGGAAGAAAAGAGTAGCCAGGGTGTAATTTTGCCATTGTCAAATGATGGTTTGGTTCCTCTGTGTTCAAGCTTGGCAAAGAGTGTTACACCAGTCGAAGAGTCTCTGAGTCTTACAACAAGAGCAATTTCTACAGTAACAACAACAACATGTTTAGATGCTGCTTCTGTGGCATTGAGTGGAACCACTTCTGGAACATGGTCTACTGCCTTGGCTGGTGGAACAGATACTTCAACAAAAGTCACACCCGTTTTAACTACTCGCCTGCGTACCTCTAATGTTGGAAATACTGTAGCTATATCTACTGTGAAAACGGGACACCTTGCTTCATCAGTACTAATTTCAACGACTCCACCAGCTCATCCAAGCTTGTCATCTACTTTTCAATTGCCAGGTACAGTTGCCTTGCCCAGACCTGTGAATAGTGCCCCCAAAATGATACCAACAGCTCCTCAATTGCCAGCAGTTTCCCCTGTTGTTCAGTGTATGCCCCTTTCGAAAGCTCAACAATCCACACTCGTTCAGTTTCAGTCACCCAGAATTCCAGCTGCAGTGCCAACAAATGGAAGTGCTCCCAAACCTCAAACTGTATTGGCCCCCAGTCCACCAAATACAGGTAAAATTGTTAGCTTTTCTAACTTAGTTTCCCTACCTTGTCAGCCGCTGCCTCCTAATTTTGTAAAGCCCGCCCCTGCTTTCACTTCTGCTCCTACTGCCGCCACCACTCAGACTGTTCCAGCTTCACCATCTATAGCTGGCAATGTAGGAGGACAGCTGAACGAGTCTTGTGTTCAACAAAAAATAATTATTAACACGTGTACACCTTTGGCACCTGGAACTCAGATAATGATCAGTGGCACTCGGTTCATTGTTCCACCTCAGGGTCTCGGAGCCGGCAGCCACGTCCTTCTCATCTCTACAAATCCAAAACTTGGCCCTCTTTTAACTGTTAATAATGGCCATGGGCTTCAAGGTGTATCCCATGCTTCTCCTTCTCCCCAGAAGACTACACAAGTGTTGAGCAACGCATTAAGCTGGCAGCCGTCAAAACAGCCTTTGAAAAGCTCTACCAAAATCGTGAACGCTCTTGGGACTGCAAACCCCCTGCCAATTGTACACGCAGCGCCACAAGTTGCAAACAGCGCCGCAAAACCAAGCGCCCCATCTTTTGCAGCAACATTGTCTGCGCCTTTGGTAACCACCCGGCCCGGCGGTCTAGCTAAAACGTCTTTGGTTTGTGCCACTCACACTGCTAACTCACAGTTGCAAAGCAGTACACCTGTATTACAGCTAGACACATCTATAAAAAAACTGATGGTCAGCCCAGAAGGAGCCATTCTGAATGCTATAAAGACTCCAACATCGAAATCTTCCTCTCTACCATCGTCCTTCTCTCCTGACATAGTTTCCACAACCAGGAGTCCTGCTGTTGTCTTCCCTAATTTTCTGAAACCCAACATAGGCGTGCCTAACACAGCTGCATCTTAAATGTAAAGTAAACGAGCCCTTAAAATGTTGGAGCATTCTTTTGTGTATGAAGTTAATTTATAATTGTTTAAGAAATTCTTCTGATATTTGAAACATACCAGACATGAGGCTGATGTACATGAACCCATGGCATGTGATGGCTACATTTGAGCACATGGAAGCCGCCAGGCAAAGAACTGAGCTGTTGTGCATGTTCTTGGGAACTCACAGGCTGAATAGATTCAGATTCTTCACATCAGATGTATCAGCTGCTAGTTTGCCATTAAATTGGGAGCTGCCACATGCTCAAATTTTAAAACGCCTACCATCTACCCAAGGGTTTATGGCCATAGTTGATTTTCTAAAAATTACTTCATATTAGATTGCAGCTGCCTACAATTTTATTTTTAAATGGTGAGGAACCTCATCATTAAAATACTTTTCAGACTTATACTTTCAAAGGGTTTTTATTAAAGTGGTCAGAAAAGGCCGTCTGTTAAGGTGTGTTGTAGAAAGCAACGTTTAATTTTTGGTTAGCACATTTACAGGGATATGTTTCTTCTTCAAATTTAGACTTTTCCATCTTAATTATAAACACAGTACACTTTTTTTAAAAAATTACTTGGTTCTCTCTCTCTTTCTTTTTTTAAAGCATATTTATGCATTGTAAAAATGCAATCTATGGTGTAAAATTGTACATATCCCTGACTCCCTAACAGTATGTACTAAACTATGTGTAAAAAGAACTACTCTGTCTTATTTATGTTTTGTTTACATAATGTATAGTTTTTTAAGTATTTTAGTAATTTTGGACAAGTGTACTGTTTAGCAATAATGCAGAAATATCTGCATGTAATAAACAAAGTTGCCGTATTTCTTTGATAATGTATCAGTTTCATCTGGAGAAGAAATACTTGATAGCACAGGGTTATGGAATGTATGGGCATTAAGAAATTATTATGTTGGGATTAACAGAAAGGTTGTGGTCCTAAGCTCAGATACTTAGACATAAATTCCATTAAAACTAATGGAATTTTTTGCCAAGTAAAAGTGCCCAAGTTTGTGGTTTCCCAGCTTTTGAATTCTTTCTCTTGCTCTTTTGTGCATCATTTGAAACCCCCCCCCCCAGCCTATACAGTTATGGACATTTGAGCTTGTTCTATTTTCACCATTGCGACAGGGAGTGAAAATATTCCTTTTTCCATTATCAGGAAGAAAAAAAGAAAGATTGCCGGATTTGATTGCAGATCTGTTCATTGTGTCAAAGGCATTGAGGGGTTAAATGTTAACGAATACTTCAGCTTTTATATAAGTGACTGTAAAGAGAAACTAAGAAAAGGTTTTCTAGCAAATATGGTGGATGGGGTGGGCTACAGATGCTGCAAGCTGGAAGAATTGGGGAATTGAATCTTATGTGAGAAATTGCTGAAATTCTGAATGCTCCTTCCTGGTAACAGATAAGCCTGGGACAAGGGCTGCACTTGTTAGAAGGACGGAAGATGAGTAAAGAACTGGATTGCCTGTTTTAAGAAACTGAACTTAAAGTTGAATTAAGCAGCAAGCTCAGGAACTGTTCTCTACATAAAACAGTTTGAAATGTGACCTTTCAAAACTGAACCTATCGGAAGGGTAGAAATCTAAGTCATGCTTATTCACACTTTGCTTAATTTAGTTGGGCAGGATTTTATATTTGCAGGGCTAGGCTGTCTTTAGCCAAGTCTAACTGGGAGTATCAGCCAGAACTGGCCTAAACATTCTTCCTCCAGGTGTCCTTATTTTACCTCGAACTTTACAGTAGGCAATGAGCAATAGCCAGGTTTTCCTCCTTTTTTTTGTCTAGTGATAGCACTAGAGTTATCATAGAGATTCATGTTGTGGTAGGTGACTGTCACTAAACAAATGTTTTTTGTTGAACAAAATTAAAGATTACGAATTGTAGAGAATGCTTAGGATTTGATAATGTTTTGTCTCCGTAACGATTTCTGTAATATAGATCTTTGAAAATGCTAACATTTAGAGCCTGTCTCCCCTTCACTCAAACCACTAGGACTTCCAAGCCATTTGTAGAAGAGTCTCTTAGATGTACATCAAACTCTGCTTCGGGCTACATCTAGCATACCTTGAGGGTGTGTGTTGGGGGTGTGTGCGGGTATATTCTGCAACATATTACTGACACAATAGTTTCACTTTTTTGCTCTGTGCTGCTTGCCCAATGTTACCAAATCATTGCTGTCTACTGCTGGCTCCAGCGCAACAAAAGTGGTGGTGGTGGGGGAACCCCCTGCAGAACATTTATGAGATTTCAGCATATGGTTACCAGACGTACCCCTTTTCCCAGGGACAGTCACTGGATTTTCAAATCTGTCCCCGGGCAAAATCCATCCCTGGAATGTCCTCGGATTTCATTTAATGTCCCCGGATTTATATTTTAAGTGTTGTAGATTTATTAGAAGGGAATGAATGTTGCGTGATTGGTTCAACGGCACAAGACACATCATATGGGGACTTCTGGTGAGGTAAAATGGTGGGCGCCACGGCAGTGAGCAGCTCCTGAAGCCAGCCAGAGCCAACTGCGCTATCAGGCTGACTCTGGGCTGCTGAGGCTGCCGCTGCTGCTGAGGGGGAACCGGGGACACCCAGCGCATCAACAGGGAGAACCACTGACTCCCCCGCGACCCAAATCGAGCTGGGGGCAAGAGCCCCCAGCCACCCAGTTGACTGCCCAGCGGCGCTCTGGGGCCAGGAAAACCCCAGAGCTGACGCAGGGAGAAGAAGGAGAGGAGAAGAAGGAAGAGAGAGAAAGAGGAAGGAGAAAAAAGAGGGGAGCCCCGACCTTGCCGCGCAGCTGCTGCCGCCACCACTGAGAAGGAGAGGTAGGAGAGCACCAGGAGGGCAAGGACATGTGACCCGAGCCTACTCCACAGTGGCTAGCGCTCCAAGAGAGCATGCTGGGGCCCAGAGGAAGGCCACGCGACAGAGGAGACCACAGAAGAGAAGATACTACTTTTTTATAAAAAAAAACTTTTTTCTCTTTTTTTAAAAAAAGTGTCCCCAGATTCTTGGGGGTGGGGGTGGGAAATGGTAACCTTATTTCAGCAGGAAGTTACAGGATGTGCACTGACTGGAACTGAAGCAATATGACTGCCCAAAATGTTGCTGGCACAAGCAGTATTAAAAGCAGGATTGTCCATAACTTCCACAATAGCATAATCAGCACAAATCATGAATGCACAATGGAAAGATTTGTTATTGCTTGATATGGAGGGGAATGGTTGTTGAAATTATTGGAGGCAAAGTTGTTTGATTAGAGAAAAACCATTGCTGACATTATGTAATAATAATAGAGAATGAAAGTCCCTTTTCGACTTTTTGTGTGAAAAAGAGAATGAATGAATTTGAGACACTTGGGTCTGAAGAATGGAAAAAATATTACTTAACAGGAAGTAGAATGGTTGGGTGTCAATTTAGAGTGAATGTTTTAAATAATTTATTTTATCTACTAACAGACGGAAAATCGGAAGTCCTTTTTATTTGTCTTCCTTCCTTTCTTTCCTTCTCTCCCCCCCTTTTTTCTCTTTCTTTTTTCCATTTGGTGTCCTTTGCTCTGGTCCATTATTGAAGGTGATAGATGGTTGGTGGAAGGACCCTGAGTGAGAGGCAGGGAAGGGAAGACTTCCCAGGACGAGAGACTGGGGGAAGAAAGGAAAGCTCCCAGGTGGGACCTGGGAAGGCCCACAACTTTCTGTGGGTGACAAGGATTAAGAGCTACCTTTGAGAGACTACATTTTCTTTTTCCTTGCTCTTTGTTTTTATTGAGATTAGTTTATTTTATCTTATTATGAAAAATAAAATCTCATGAGGAAAAGTGAATGCACAATTAATGGCATTCAATTAAATTTAACTCAGAATAGATGCATTGAACTAGGAACATGGCTAAATTTGGTTCATTAATTTGAATAGATATACTCCTGAGTAAAACTGAGTTGAATGCCACCTATAAAAATTATGTCTGTAAGTGCCCTTTCTATCAGCTCTCAACTCTCCACTCCTTGGTTCTTGGAAGTGCCTCTTACTTTGCCTTGATCTTTTGAGTACCTTAATGGCACGGAATTGATGCTTTTGAATTCTGGTGCTGGAGGAGACTCTTGAGAGTCCCATGGACTGCAAGAAGATCAAACCTCTCCATTCTTAAGGAAATCAGCCCTGAGCGCTCACTGGAAGGACAAATTCTGAAGCTGAGGCTCCAATACTTTGGCCACCTGATGAGAAGAGAAGACTCCCTGGAAAAGACCCTGATGTTGGGATAGATGGAGGGCACAAGGAGAAGGGGACGGCAGAGGACGAGATGGTTGGATAGTGTTCTCGAAGCTACGAACATGAGTTTGACCAAGCTGTGGGTGGCAGTGGAAGACAGGAGTGCCTGGCATGCTCTGGTCCATGGGGTCACGAAGAGTCGGACACAACTAAACTACAACATCAACAATGGTATGGAAGGGAGGTTGGGTAAGAGGGATACTGCAATTGTACGCAGACATATTCATGGATATTCGTACCTTCCCTGAAAGTCAATACTGTCCCCTAGCTGCAAAACTGGAGGTCCACAATCAGAGAAATGTGCTGCACCAAAGTATGTTGGTGCTCCATTCTTTCCATGAGTTGCTGTTTGGTCAGAGAAATTATCTGTTGGGAAAAACCCATACCTTTCACATCCTGGTTTACAGTCCTTCTTCTTGTCTGCTACTTTGGCTATCTTCACTCTTTGTTTGCAATGAAACAGAATGTTATAGTAGACATGGTAACTTCCTGATGCCACACGGTAATGATGCCGAGGGCAAACAAAGCCTTTCCATTTCCCCACCAGCATTTCCAACATTAGAGGTACCACAGTTGGTTTACTGCCAAGGAAGTTAGGCTGGCACTCTCAAAGAGCGGATTGGGTTTTACTGCGGTCAAAATGTTCACGCAGCACATTATCTTTCACCCCATTTAAGTGCAACACCAGTATTAACTGCACATTAGCTCCCCTTAGCTGCTCCTGGTAATGGCTGAGACCAATTACCACTATTAATTTTATCATGTATGTGCTACAATTTGCTTGATTAATGTCTTCTACCTGATTGCGCATTTAGTATCATCAGTTCCTTTACAAAAGAGCAAAAGCAAATGTGGACTGTTCAAACGGAGTCCAGTATCTGCAAAGATTTCCTGCTGCGTTGATAATAATAAATAAAATATAATTCACTCACAAATGTAACCTGATGAACAATAATTCTCATGTTTCAGTTACAATCAGATTAATTGAATTCGTAAAAATCGTTATGGACCCTTTCCCCTTTGCTGGTACTTATCCCAAACAACTGTGTTGGCATGCTCAACAGTTGCAAAAATCAAATTGGGAAAATGTACTCGGAATTAACAAGTTCAACAGTTGCAAAAAATCAAATTGAGAAAATGTATTTGGAATTAATAAGTTTGGTTTATTTGTATACAAAGCTGAAGAGAAATCCAGCTCCAGGAAGTGCATTGGCCGCTGGAGGTACATTTAGAAGTCTAAGGCAGGCATGGCCAAACTTGACCCTCCAGCTGTTTTGGGACTACAATTCCCGTCATCCCTGACCACTGGTCCTGTTAGCTAGGGATGATGGGAGTTGTAGTCCCAAAACAGCTGGAGGGCCAAGTTTGGTCATGCCTGGTCTAAGGAACTGCCCTGGGTGTTAGAAACTCAATTTCACTCACCCCCCCCCAAAAAAAGCAGACAAAACACACCCAAAAAACCAGTGGGTGCTGAGATAAGTCTCACAGGGTGCCATGGACACAATACAGAGCCCAGGCACAGTCTATATGCTCAGTGCCTACACTATAATGGCCTTGGTACTGGAAGCATATGCTGAAACAATTGTATAGGATAAGTCTTACTTGGACTGCAACTGCAGTGCTGTGGGATAGGTAGTTTAACACGTTTTCCCATGCACAGTTTCCTTGGTTTAAGCCTCTCCAAACAGCTATTGGCTTTGGAGCAATGCTGGCGCACAGATACAACACAGGCAAGTCCAGTGCTTTTTTCTATTTAAAAATGTTTAGGGGTACTCTCATTTTATTATAATAATAATAATAATAATAATAATAATAATAATAATTTATTTATACCCCGCCCATCTGGCTGAGTTTCCCCAGCCACTCTGGGCAGCTTCCAACAGAAAATACAAGTCTATTAAACATTAAAAGCTTCCCTAAACTGGGCTGCCTTCAGATGTCTTCTAAAAGTTGGGTAGTTTTCTCTTTGACATCTAGTGGGGGGGTGTTCCACGGGGTGGGTGCCACTACCGAGAAGGCCCTCTGCCTGGTTCCCTGTAATGGCTTATCGCAATGAGGGAACCACCAGAAGGCCCTCGGTACTGGACCTCAGTGTCCGGGCAGAAGGATGGGGGTGGAGACACTCCTTCAGATATACTGGACCGAGGCCGTTTAGGGCTTTAAAGGTCAGCATCAACACTTTGAATTGTGCTCGGAAACATACTGGGAGCCAGTGTACATCTTTCAAGACCAGTGTTATGTGGTCTTGGCGGCCATTCCCAGTCAGCAGTCTAGCTGCTGCATTCTGGATTAGTTGCAATTTCCGGGACACCTTCAAAGGTAGCCCCACATAGCGTGCATTGCAGTAGTCCAAGCAAGAGATAACTAGAGCATGCACCACTCTGGCGCGGCAGTCCGTGGGCAGATAGGGTCTCAGCCTGCGTACCAGATGGAGCTGGTAAACAGCTGCCCTGGATACAGAATTGACCTGCGCCTCTATGGACAGCTGTGAGTCCAAAATGACTCCCAGGCTGTGCACCTGGTCCTTCAGGGGCACAGTTACCCCATTCAGGACCAAGGAGTCCTACTCGTATTGAATATGAGTTTCCTACTCGTATTGAAATACTGCCCCTCAATGAGGCCAAACTTAGATTCACAACATGTTTAGGGGTATGCATACCCCTGCGTCCCGTCCACCCCCCCCCCCCGGAAAAAAAGCACTGGGCATGTCCATTCTCCTGCAGGTCATTGCTTCTGGGAGAGTCTGAATTTGCGGAAATGGGAAAAACAGTTAACCTGGTCCCAGAGTAATGGCCCCAATCCATAACCTCCATGGTAACTATAAAGAAAAAAAAGATGTAGGTAAAACTTGCCATGGAATCTTCCATATCACAACGGGGCTATGTACACATGAAATGCAGCAAGGTCATTGCTGATCACCCCAGAGAGGAAACAGGGATGTCTTCACCCACATACATTGCTTGCTAGATTTTCCTGCCCCTGCAACCCATCCCCTGAATGTGGAAATATTCCCTTAAGTTACTCCCCCCAGGATTTCCCCCTGAAATGGCTTGGCACCAGCTTTTCTTTCTCCCCAGAGTCCCGATGTACAGTGGTACCTCGGGTTACATACACTTCAGGTTACATACGCTTCAGGTTACAGACTCCGCTAACCCAGAAATAGTGCTTCAGGTTAAGAACTTTGCTTCAGGATGAGAATAGAAATCGTGCTCCGGCAGTGCGGCAGCAGCGGGAGGCCCCATTAGCTAAAGTGGTGCTTCAGGTTAAGAACAGTTTCAGGTTAAGAACGGACCTCTGGAACGAATTAAGTACTTAACCCGAGGTACCACTGTAATCTTTAGCGGGAGAGAAAACAACAAGGGAGAAATGGTTTGGCATCAAAATGCAAAGGTGGGTTTCAGGACTCTTCAGAATCTCCCCTTCCGCACCACACGCCAGAAATCATTGTGTTGTTATTTGAATTAAGTGGGGTCTCAGATGGGCTATTCCACCTTCACGTCTCGTTTGCCTTGTAGCTTCTGAGACGATGGAGGAGGCTCCTGAGAGGCCAACCTGTTCACTGAGAGCTGAGCAAATGAAGCACAAGAAGCTAAAAGGGCTTTATTTATTGGCATGCTACATAATGAGAAGCATTAAAGAGATAAAATCATTTATTCTTTTAATAAATCTCAAAAAGAACAAAAGAGTAATAGAGTCCACGTGTGGGGGTTATTATCAGTGCTTTTTTCTGGGGATACGCAATTCCCTAAACATTTTGTGAATCTTCGTACTTTTGTCCATGTACTGTATTTAGTCTTCCCGATTTGAACTATAAAAGAGTGATTTTCTTGAGTCAAAATGAAAGTACCCCTAAACTACTACTTTTTTTTTAAGCACTGGTTCAGGAAGGCTGGTTCTTGCTCTTCAGTATTTATTATGCTTGGTATAGCTCCTGGAATAAAATATATCACAGCATCTCTTACACTGAATGACTCCAGGCAACTGGAATGAAGGTACAAAGGCATCAGCATTCCAGGTATCTCATACAATTGGGAACAGCTGCATTTTCTTAAGCAATAATGGCTTCTAGATACATTTGCAATAGCATGCATTATTTTTCAAGAGGTGTAGCTAAAAATCAAAGATGGTGCGTGTAATCGTTCAAGCACTGGATTTAATGGTTCCTGCTTCATGGTGCATATGGCGGTGGCAAAAGGGTGGCAGATATTTTGTCATAGGCCGGTGGAGCATCAGGCACCTGTGAAAATGTAAGTCAGGAAAGAGAGAATAATAATAATATAATAATAATTTATTACAGTGGTACCTCGGGTTACATACGCTTCAGGTTACAGACTCCGCTAACCCAGAAATAGTGCTTCAGGTTAAGAACTTTGCTTCAGGATGAGAACAGAAATCGGGCTCCGGCAGTGCGGCAGCAGCAGGAGGCCCCATTAGCTAAAGTGGTGCTTCAGGTTAAGAACAGTTTCAGGTTAAGAATGGACCTCCGGAATGAATTAAGTACTTAACCTGAGGTACCACTTATACCCCACCCATTTGGCTGGGTCTCCCCAGCCACTCTGGGCGGCTTCCAACAGGAGATTAAAAATACATGAAAACATCAGTCATTAAAAAACATCCCTAAACAGATGGCTTCTAAACGTCAGATAGTTGTTTATTCCTTTGACATCTGATGGGAGGGCGTTCCACAGAGCAGGAGCCACTACTGAGAAGGCCCTCTGCCTGGTTCCATGTAACTTCACTTCTCTCAGTGAGGGAACCGCCAGAAGGCCCTCGGCGCTGGACCTCAGTGTCCAGGCCGAACAATGGGGTGGAGATGCTCCTTCAGGTATACTGGGCCGAGGCCATTTAGGGCTTTAAAGGTCAGCACCAACACTTTGAATTGTGCTCGGAAACGTACTGTTATTCATATGCTAAGTTGTAAATACTAAGGTGCTTTATAGCTTCCTTAAGCTAATATTGCCAGACGTTTCTTAATGCGCTTCCCATAATCACCACATTCAAACATCATTATGTCAACATTGCTGGCATCTGTCTATCTCGAGAGACAATGGAGTGTGCCTCTGGGAGTGAAGCTGAACCACGGTGTTAGCATCAACGAAGTGACCTGTGCCCTGGGCTGCCCAGACAACAAGACCACCCCCTTTCAGCCTTGCTGATGTGGTCCAAAGGAAAGCAGAACAAGACATTTGGCACCAGCTTGGCCGCAGGAGCTGCCAGAAGGAGATTTACAAGACACCATCCAACCATCTTAGCAACTTCACTCCCTATTTGTGTGGGGTTTAATCTTAGCCTTTTCTTCTCCCGACAATATCTGACAAGGCAGCTTTAGGATCAGAGTTTTCTTCCTCCTAGATGCACTACCTTCTCAGGTTGATGAGTCCCATCTCCCCCTTACTTCCCTCTACACCACTATTGGTCTTGTCTGCTCAATCTGCCAGAGCCTGTCTTCACATACACGGGAAGTCTGTTACTTGCTGAGGGTTTGAGATCCATTGGCTACCTTCACTTGGCTTAGCCAGCCAGTCCAAGCCGCATGGAAAAGCACATGAACCTGACTTTTGAAGAATTAGTAAGTAAACCATTTTCTATGCTAAGGGAAGAGGGAAGTTTTGGAACTCATAAGGGAATAACAGGTCTAACAGACTACATTTCCACACTTTACTTTGCTGTATATTTTTTTGATTTTAAATCTCTGCTGCGGTTCACTCACCAAAGAGTAATCGTCCGAAACCTGGACCTCAGCATGCAGGAATTCTTTTCATATACCTATTCCGCCCCCCCTTGCCAACCAACACTACTGAGAAGTAGTTCCACAGGGCACTAAAGCCTCGGTTTTTGGTAAAGGCTTATTGAACCTCAGGGGCCCATGGCGTCCACCACCAACCACCCCATCAGAAGACCTCAGGAAGGAAAATTCATTTTTTAAAAAAAATCATTCAGCCCCTATGACTCTGTACCAGTGTGATGTTGATTCTTCAACAATAGTTATATATTTGTTCATTTTATGTCCCACCTTTCCTCTAAGGAGCTCAGAGGACACCCCCATTTTAACCTCAGAACAACCCTGTGAGGTAGGTTAGGCTAAGATGCAATGACTGGTCCAAGGTCACCCCATGAGCAACGTGGGATTTGAACCCCCGTCTCTCAGGTCCTAGTCTAAAGCTCTAACCACTCCACTCTATTGGCCCTCTCACTGCACTCTCTGGTGGTCACAGAAAGGGTTTCCAAATGTTAAGAGAAAGGATAATCTTACCACATGGCTTCTGTTGCTGTTGTATTCCTGCAAGGGCAATTTGGAGCCCAACAAACCACTTTTTCCTTCCGAGATCCTTCCAGTGGTCCCTCCAAAATTCTTACTCTGTGGCACACAGGGAGAAAAGGGCAGAGAAACGAGACATTTGAGTGCAAGGAAAATTAGAAGGTCCATAATATATATAAAAAACCCAGTAATGAGAATTAAGTCTAAGAGTGTTTTGCACATGAGGCCTAAATCTCTTTGGGGCTTACATCATCTGTCTGTAATGTCAATGTGCTTTCAGTTTCTTTTTTATCCACATTTAACATTCACATGTGGTCTCGCACAAAATTTGCTCTTTAAGTCGCAGTGAAAGTGGGGTCCTACTTGCTCTCACCCTACAGTGCATGTGTGATTCTTAGCATGCGATAGTCTTGCAATACATCCCTCCACTGTGAGCCAGTGTAGTGTAGTGGTTAAGAGCGGTGGACTCGTAATCTGGTGAACCGGGTTCACTTCCCCGCTCCTCCACATGCAGCTGCTGGGTGACCTTGGGCTAGTCACACTTCTCTGAAGTCTCTCAGCCTCACTCATCTCACAGAGTGTTTGTTGTGGGGGAGGAAGGGAAAGGAGAATGTTAGCCGCTTTGAGACTCCTTCGGGTAGTGATAAAGTGGGATAGCAAATCCAAACAACTCCTCCTGCATAAACCTTTGGCAACCCTCTGCGGGCTGCGTCTGTTGGGGGTCTCCCAAACATCTGGAGGGCAACCAGGCTGGCAAAGGCTGTCATAGGTTATTGTGCACACTGAGTACACCCAAGGCTTAACTTACGACAGTGCTAGTATCTGCTCCCTATGTTTAGGTTTAACACTAGATCATAGGAAGTACAGTACCATACAAATGTACCTCTGAGCAGGGGCAGAGCGTATTTGCCTCACCAGTACTGAGTAACCATGAAGTGTATTTGCACATCAGAGTTTAGGGGGAAAGACTACAGGACTGTGGATCCTAGGCAGAACTGAGATGCAGCATTTTTTAATTTTAACTTTTATCCTTACCAGAAGGCTTCTATAACCATTGCGCTTTTTGTAATACCAACAGCCAATAATCAGCAAAGCTGTAAGAATCACAACAAGAATTCCAATGCCTGCAGCCCTGTTTGGGAAAGAAGAAGACACCATTACAAAACACATATGGGAACAAGGAAGATTTTACTATGTCCTGTGTGAAGCACAGTTTTAACACAGGGCCAGGCAAACCAGGAGACGCAACAACCGGTTTTGCTTTTGTAGCTTTGTAGGGAACGCGATAAGCACAGAGGCTAGGACTTGCCGATCAGAAAGTCGGCGGTTTGAATCCCTGCGATGGGGTGAGCTCCCGTTGCTCGGTCCCTGCTCCTGCCAACCTAGCAGTTCGAAAGCACGTCAAAGTGCAAGTAGATAAATAGGTACCGCTCTGGCGGGAAGGTAAATGGCATTTCTGTGTGCTGCCCTGGTTCACCAGAAGCGGCTTAGTCATGCTGGCCACATGACCCGGAAGCTGTATGTCGGCTCCCTCGGCCAATAAAGCGAGATGAGCGCCGCAACCCCAGAGTCGGCCATGACTGGACCTAATAGTCAGGGGTCCCTTTACCTTTACCTTTAGGGAACGTGATAAGCATGTTGAATCAACTCTATGAAACTCTGCATATTCAGTACAGAATTTGTACAAAAAGACACACAGGCAGCCAGGAACAAAGAAATAAAATGGGCTTTTGATTATGGGCTGCAATACAACTGGCACACTGCATGATGAGGCTTCCATCTGAATAGATTTTGATATGGAATTATCTCCTTGTAACGACACTGACACAATAGGATTTAGAGGGGATGAAAGGGCTGAGTTCAAAAATATTTCAGTACCAGCTGCATGCTGCAGGTGGAAATGGCATGCATACAACTGTATCTCACCCAAGAGACAACCTCTCACACAGCGGAGGGGACAGGTACGTCCCCCTGAGGGTGATGGGACGTAAAAGTGAATGTGGAAATGATTATTTGTTTATTTGTGGTGTTTATAGTCCACCTCTCACCTGAAAGTCCCAGGGTGGAAAATACACAAATACACTGAAATTGAACAATGACAATAAAATGAGAACAATGAAAATAAGAAATAAGGCAGGAGAGGCAGTGAAAACAAACTTATCAAAACTCATTACACCTCTACCAAAGGTCTGGGCAAAGAGGAGCATCTTCACCTGCTATAAAAAGGAAACAGAACTGAAGCAAGATGCCCCTCAGAGAAATTATTCCAAAGGCACAAAGGATCCCTGGACGGTTAAGTCCAGTCAAAGGTGACTATGGGATTGCGGTTCTCATCTCACTTTCAGGCCGAGGAAGCCGGCGTTTGTCCACAGACAGCTTTCCGGGTCGTGTGGCCAGGTTGACTAAACCGCTTCTGGTGTAACGGAACACCATGATGGACACCAGAGCACACGGAAACACCGTTTACCTTCCTGCTGGAGCGGTACCTATTTATCTACTTGCACTGGCATGCAAGTCGCGGATGACTTTGGGGTTGCGGTGCTCATCTCGCTTTACTGGCCGAGGGAGCTGGCGTACAGCTTCCAGGTCATGTGGCCAGCATGACTAAGCCACTTCTGCAAACCAGAGCAGCGCACGGAAACACTGTTTACCTTCCTGCCAGAGCGGTACCTGTTTATCTACTTGCACTTGACGTGCTTTCGATCTGCTAGGTTGGCAGGAGCAGGGACTGAGCAACGGGAGCTCACCCCGTCACGGGGATTCGAACCGCCAACCTTCTGATCGGCAAGCCCTAGGCTCTGTGGTTTAGACCACAGTGCCACCCCGCGTCCCTGAGACTGGCCTCTTTAGGAGTATAATCATATGTAGGTCCTGGCTTTTGCAATGCTTACTGGCCCTCATCCTCACAGTTTTGTGACAGTCTATTTAACTACTGTTGTTAGACGGGTGTGGTACGATTTGGCTTAAATTACTGGGGAAAGTCAGGTTTTGGTTTTCATTAGAAGCCCCCAAGCTTCCCCCCCCCCCCCCCAGTAATTTGAGCCCTGGGCCAGGCTGCTATTGCCTCTTATGGTGTCGCTTAGACTGTGCCATACTCAAGTAACCCCGGTCTACTGCATAAACTGTGAAGAACTGAAGTCAGGGTGGACAATCTTCAAAAGCCTGGAGAAATTAGTGATTGGATGCAGCAAACCAGCACATCAGAAACCTAACAAGAACAACACATTCATGCAGAAACACCCTTAGGACAACCACAGTTGGGGATAGTGGTTATAAATATTCTTCATTCATTCCACAAAGTATTAAAGTGTACATTAAAAGCAAAAGGAAAAAAAGGCACTTTACACTGGCAAGTCGACTCCCATCTCCCTCCCACCCTGAAATTTGTTCCCCCCGGCTCTGTTTTCAGTCTTGTTTGTGGCCAGTTCCCCCTCCGACAGCAGTAGGGCTGTGGCTGCAGCAGCTCAGCTCTTGCAAAGCTGATCCTGGATGGAAATGAGGTTCTGCAAGGTGGAAGCCCCTGTTTTGTAGTTTAAATTAAAACCCAGCAGCTGCTCTCTGCAAGTTGGGGGAGGGGGGAGGCAAGGGAGGAAAGCAAGCCTGTCCCGCCCAGAGAGAAAGAGGGGGCAGGGCGAGGGGTGACCCAATGCCCACCGAGGGGCCTTGTTAAATCTGCTCAGGGGCAAAACCAGGCAGCCTCAGGCAAGGAGGGGGGCAGCAACAGAGTCTGTGCCATTTGGGATGGGGGACATGAGAGAGGCCCACCCCCAACAGCAGAATCTCATATCCCTGTGTGGAATCAAGTGTCCATGAGTTCCAACGTCATTCTTTGTTCTTTTTCAAATAAAATCACTACCCTAGAAATGTTAATCTGAAAGCCCAGAGGAAGCACCCAGGGGTGCCTCCCTGCGTAAGTCTTGTTCAGGCCCTGCCCACAGAGAAGGGCTTTACGGGACCCCCACAGAGGACTTTAAGGTCCATGAATAACCATAGTTTAGAGGTCCCGGGCCCTAAGGAAGTCAGACGATCCTCCACCAGGGCCAGGGCCTTTACAGTGATGGCTCCGACCTGGTGGAATGCTCTGTCCCATGAGACTAGGGCCCTTCAGGATTTAACCTCCTTTCGCCGGGCCTGTAAGACAGAGTTATTCCACCTGGCCTTTAATTTGAATTCAGCCTGATATTTTATTTCCCTTCTCTTCTCTCCCCCTCCCCTTTTATGAAGATTACCCGCTCTGAGACCCCACAGCTAATTCTCCCCTGGCCTCCTCGCTGGCCCAAGTAGGACCAATTCAGCCAGCTAGCCCTGGGGATTATCTAATGCTTATTTCCCCTAAATTGATTTCTGAATTTTGAATTTTATTGTTATTCATGTTTTTATACTGTATTTTGTGCTGCTTTTACAGTTAAGTGTTTGTTGTTAGCCGCCCTGAGCCTGGTTTTTGAACCGGGAAGGGCGGGGTATAAATAAATAAATAAGTTATAATTATAATTATAATTCTCCTTCCTCCCACCAAGAGACTGGCCACCACCCAATAGCACAGGGCCAAGAAGAAGGAAGCTTCGTACATGGGCAGAGGCTCAGCATACAGGGTGGGAGGGGGAGTAAAACAGGCACACCCACCCCATGAAAGGGGCTATAAATGGATGAGCTGAGAGCTTGACCCTGAACTCAGATGGAGAAAACCACTCTCCCTTTTGTGACTAAAATTGCGTATTTGGAATGGCATCGAAATAGTTCGTCAATAAGTCCGATAGCTCCGCTTACTCTTCCGCTGAAAGAGGGGTGGATCCCTTTCCTCGAGCAAAGTTGCCATCTAGGTAGTGCTGTCCCCTGGGCATCTTGTTTGGTTCAGATCACACCTACAAAATGGACAAAGGGGTGACCATTCTCTATGCGGAATTTTCATTGTATCCTTGATAATCTTGGCAGAAACACAGCCTCATTTGTTGACTGGACAGTTTCTTAAGAAATTAAACAGCTCACTGACAATGTTTCCCAAATAGTCATACTCAGCTGACGTCTTGAGTGGGGACTATCTAGGGCAGGCATAGGCAAACTTGGCCCTCCAGATGTTTTGGGACTACAACTCCCATGATCCCTAGTGGTCAGGGATGGTGGGAATTGTAGTCCCAAAACATCTGGAGGGCCGAGTTTGCCTATACCTGATCTAGGGTTCAGAAAGGTTTTTATTTTTACGTTTTTAAAATTTTTATTTTATTGTCTTTTCTACTCTGCTTTAGATATCGTCTCAATCCTTCGAAAGAGAAAAAAGGATGCTAGGAAAATGATTATACATTGATCCATTAAAGGCAAACGTTTGCACTGACCACTAAAAGGAAATCTCAATGACTGAATGAGCCGGTTGCTCATTAAAGTATTTTAATACAGTTCCGCATGTGAAAAATCTAAGTGAAATAAATAGTCTCATCGACATTTCCCCACACATTCACTTCTTTGCTTCCATGCCCTCTGGTTTTAGAGGTGGGGGCCATTTCAGACTAGTGTACAATCTGCAGAATATCTATATACATAGCAGGTTAAGAGCACATGCATTTTATAGTGTATGGTAGGCCAAAGGCTTTGCATTCAGAATCATCCTATATTTAGTCTCTTGCATCCCCAGTTAAAAGGTAGAACAGAGAACAAATTATGTGAAATATGCTGTCTGAGCCCCTGAAGACCGGCTGTCAATCAGAGCAGACAATTCAGGGCTAGCTGGTCAAACATTCTGGTAATGTAGCAAAGAGACAGAAAGTGGACTGCAGGGCAAGTCTGACTTTGAAATGTTACCCTTGAACGCTATCAAATTTAAACATGGTGTGCTAAAAACAAAACCCACACTTTTAATTCATAAAAGAAAGGGGGAAACGATTTAAATAATAAAAAGTGGGCAGAGTGTTCTTACAGCTAGATAGCATCGATTGTTTAATGGCGCCAGATCACTGATTGAAGGGAGCTGGGTCAGTTATTACGCCAAAACGTAATAAACCTATTTTAAAAATGAAATAAACTTCCAGTCCCTGAACCACTGTTTGAAGAACAGAGAGAGATTCCAGGATTTAGAATTCGGTGACCCTTGATTTGGAAAAAGACACACTGGAGCATTGTGTAACTTTAAAAAATCAAAAACGTAATAGGTTTTGCTATTAGGATGTGAATGAACACAACTCTGCAAAGGCAGTAGACCAACGTTGTCTTAAGTTTATATTGCCCCGTGCTTTTCCTAATGTCACAATCTGATGGATTTATCTGCTTGTCATTTGTGTAAATACCCAAGGAAAATTAACCAGCCATATCAAATCAAACTGAATGGCTTCATCCAGAAAAGCACACAGATAAACATTTTGGCCCACAGCTATGCTACTTAAATCTAATTAAATGAAAGGAGATTGAAACAGCCTATCAAGTGCAGGATCGCAATCTCTGATTTCAGCAGTGCACAGAATAGTAAATTGTGCTGTGAACTAAAATTACAGAGCTACCACAGTCAGGTAAGGGGGGAGGAAACCCCATGCTAAAGGTCCCACAATTTAAGAAATTTATTTCTTAATCAAATACATTTCTTTCCAGAGATAAGAAAACTGGTCAAATTGAAATTTAATACAACATGAAAATCTTGTGCAAGAAATAAACAAGGCTTACCTTTCTTACAGACTCTGGCTGAGTGGTAAGGCATAACCAGATTTCCTTCCTCCTCTATCTCTTTTTTTCTTTTTTAAATTTCCTCCTTAGGACTACTGAGCTCTCATGACCATCACGAGTCTGAATTCCTGGCGGTGCAGGTTTTTGATCGCTTTAATTAGCGTGAAAGGCTAAGACCAAAGAAATGGTTTCTGTTCTTTCCATTTCTACCCAAACCCCTCCCAGAGGGAAGCCACATTCAGTTCAGTGGGACTTGCTCCCTAGCTAAGTGTGTCTAGGATTGCTTATGCAAACAATAAAGAGTAGCTGTTCAATTATTGTGTGCAGCAATCCAGACCTCTTTTCTTGAAGCCCTGTAGAGGGGCAGAAGCAAATGCTTAATACAAGTACAGTGGACGCTCGGGTTGCGAACGTGATCTGTGCGGGACGCACGTTCGCAACCCGCAGCGGTGCATCTGCGCACGTCCGGGTTGCGATTCGGTGCTTCTGCACGTGCGCAAAGCGCGATATAGTGCTTCTGCACATGTGCGACCCCCGAAACCTAGAAGTAACCCGTTCCGGTACTTCTGGGTTTCGGCAGGTTCGTAACCCGAAAAAACACAACCTGAAGCGTCTGTAACCCGAGGTATGACTGTACAGTGGTACCTCGGGCTAAGAACTTAATTCGTTCTGGAGGTCCATTCTTAACCTGAAGCTGTTCTTAACCTGAGGTACCACTTTAGCTAATGGGGCCTTCTGCTGCCGCCGCCACGCCACCGCCACCCGATTTCTGTTCACATCACTAAAGCAAAGTTCTTAACCTGAGGTAATATTTCTGGGTTAGCGGAGGCTGTAACCTGAAGCGTCTGTAACCCAAGGTACCATTGTACAAAGGACAGCTGCAGGTATGATCATCTCAGCTCAAACTGCACCTGAATTCTAATAACCGGTTGGCCTGAAGGGCCTCCGAAGTTGTGGGGATGCCAATGAGACAGTCCTATATAAGCTCCATCATTTTTGACATCAAAGAGGGTGCTTGCAGCAAGGCCTCTGCTCTTTAAAATATGGTGAGATTAATATGGAAAGAGACATCCCTGCAAGCTGGTTAAGGGCTCAGCCTGCAACCTTGTAAAACAAATGCAAAGATTTTTTTTTAAAAATAAAGTTTTACACAAAAGCTACCTATAGAAATATAGAACCAATAAGAAGGTGGGGGGACGACTAGATGGGTTCATCTGAATTAACTGCCCATACAGCAGTAGTGATGTATGGAAGTGAGAGCTGGACCATAAAGAAGGCTGATCCCCGAAGAATTGATGCTTTTGAATTATGGTGCTGGAGGAGACTCTTGAGAGTCCCGTGGACTGCAAGAAGATCAAACCTCTCCATTCTTAAGGAAATCAGCCCTGAGGGCTCACTGGAAGGACAGATCCTGAAGCTGAGGCTCCAATACTTTGGCCACCTCATGAGAAGAGAAGACTCCCTGGAAAAGACCCTGATGTTCGGAAAGATTGAGGGCACAAGGAGAAGGGGACAACAGAGGACTAGATGGTTGGACAGTGTTCTCGAAGCTACCAGCATGAGTTTGACCAAGCTGAGGGAGGCAGTGGAAGACAGGAGTGCCTGGCGTGCTCTGGTCCATGGGGTCATGAAGAGTCGGACATGACTAAATGACTAAACAACAACAGCAGCATTGAACTTGAACTGGTAGCAGGAGATTAAAAAAGGGGATGTGTATAGATGCTAGGGGGACGTGGGTCTAAACCACAGAGCCTAGGTCAGTGTTTCGAATCCCTGCGATGGGGTGAGCTCCCGTTGCTCAGTCCCTGCTCCTTCCAACCTAGCAGTTTGAAAGCCCATCAAAGTGCAAGTAGATAAATAGGTACCGCTCCGGCGGGAACGTAAACAGTGTTTCTGTGTGCTGCTCTGGTTCGCCAGAAGCGGCTTAGTCATGCTGGCCACAAGACCTGGAAGCTGTCTGTGGACAAATGCCAGCTCCCTCGGCCAGTAAAGCGAGATGAGCACCGCAATCCCAGAGTCGTCTGCGACAGGACTTAACGGTCAGGGGTCCCTTTACCTTTATAGATGCTAGGAGAGGATAAATATATTGATTAATATCCTTCCTTCCTCAGGTCTGTGAGTTCAGCAGAGTGCATCTCTTAAAATGGTCTCTGAGCAATGGACCTAGCTACTAGGGCACAGATTTTCTCCCTGTATTTTTCACTGTCCTGTCCAGCTTTAATAAATTCAGTGGGGGTGGGGCACATTACTTGCGTCAAAGAGTATAATACTCACCACCTGGTTTTCTATAAATGTTTCCAGCATGTGCCTTTTTTTTGTAAGCATGTAAATATTTGCTTCAGGCCACCACAACAGTTGCATGTAGTACCATCAAAATTAGCACCTTTTCCACGCTACTTTATCCTACATTGCACAAATGGAAAATAGCCCATGGAAGCAAAGAGCCATGAGGTGTGGGGTGGGGAGCAGGGAGGGAATAGCATGAGACCCAAAGTCAATGAGAGGCTTTCTTGTACTCCTTATGGCTAAAAACAAACCAGGTATACTTTCTTCCCTCCCGGAGAAGAATTCATCAATAACTGCTTGCAGAGAGCGGGCATCACATAAAGGGGTTCTTTGTCATTGCTAGCAGCCGGGCAGTCACAAATCACCCATGTGATGATAATGCCAGTGCATTTGTGCTTCGCCATGGGCTGATCTTGCATTCAGATGACTCAAGATTCCAGATGTCAAAGGTCTATTATTCTCGAGAGCGATGAAGAGATCCCTGTTCGTGTTAGCGAATGCCTTCGGAGCAGGCAGTTGCAGAAAAAGTAATATTAATAACCGAGCAGTTTGTAAGGTGAAAACATGGGCTTGATCCTGGTCTTGGTTTTGCTGGGGGTGGGGTATCTTTATTAGTCTGCTTGTATAAATTCCAAATTTGCTATACTAACTGCCCCCTCCCCGTTTTAACTCCTATGCAGCTGGCAGCAGACCTCTGTTTACAGATCTATTTCTTTTTTAAAATCCATTTTTGTTGTTGCCTGGTAACACCCACCAGAAGTCTTTCTACCAGTACCATGCTACTCCTAAGTGCTGAGCAAGGTCAGTCATTATGTTGACCTGGAAAGGTGAGCTGGTTTGGAAGCCCTGCTTGAGGCAAATGATGGCCAAGGTGACCCTGGAAGCAGCTGTAGCATGGAGCTCAGCTGCATTTCACATTACTGGGTGTAGCCCCAGGCAAAACTAAAGGGGGAGGTGATGGTTAATACCAGCCACCTGTGTTCCCAGGTGATGTAGCCTAAAGGTAAATGTAAAGGGACCCCTGACCATTAGGTCCAGTCGTGACCGACTCTGGGGTTGTGGCGCTCATCTTGCTTTATTGGCCGAGGGAGCCGGCGTACAGCTTCCGGGTCATGTGGCCAGCATGACTAAGCCGCTTCTAGTGAACCAGAGCAGCGCACGAAAACACCGTTTACCTTCCCGCCGGAGCGGTACCTATTTATCTATTGCACTTTGATGTGCTTTCAAACTGCTAGGTTGGCAGCAGCAGGGACCGAGCAACAGGAGCTCACCCCGTTGCGGGAATTCAAACCGCGACCTTCTGATTGGCAAGTCCTAGGCTCTGTGGTTTAACCCACAGCGCCACCCGCGTCCCTGTAGCCTACCTGGGTCTATAAAGGTTGTGTGTATCTTCATTTGGGTGCTGACAAGCCATCTTCTTGCTACAGAATATTTTCCACCGAATGCTGTGAGCTGGGGCGAGGAGGGAGCCTTTGGACCTCTGCTGTAAGTTTGTACCTTTAAAAAAATAAAAAGGTAGACCTGATCTCCCATCTGTCTTTGGAATCTCTGTGTATCTGAACTCTTGCGAGTCCACTACTCGCTCAGTCAGCTCCAGTGCCGGATTTATGTATAAGCTAAACAAGCTATAGCTTAGCCCCCCCCTCAAAAAAAAATTAAAAGAAAAATACCTGGATGTACATTTCCAAAATATAAGATAAAAAACAAATAAAATAAAACCTACATACAGCAACAGTGTTTGGTGTAGTGTAGGCTCCTATGATGTAGGTAATAGGCCCTGCCATTATCACTGGTTTGCTATTATTATTTCATGTTATAGCAAGTTTCTAAAGACTAGATTATGCGTCTTTGTAAATTGTGTTTCTAAACTTTTGTTATTGCCAAATGCCAATGTGTTTGCATTAGTAAGTTTGTTATGAATAAAAAATCATTTTAAGTTAGAGCTGAATAATTATTTCACTATTAATATACTTCTTAATTGTATTTCACTATTAATATACTTCTTCTTAATTGTATTTGAGTTCAACAATTACTTTGATAAAATACATATTTGCTATGTGCAAATGGCTTTAGATACCTATTAGGTCCATAAGTTACCATATAGCATATATTCAACACAAAAAACAGGGACAATTTGTTGTTGACAAAGGACAGCTGGACATATAAAGGACCCCCTTACCTTCAGTAGCTTAGGGCCTCATCAAACCTAAATCCGGCCCTAGTCAGCTCCTGTTCATGAAATAGGAGAGGGTTCATTTTGTCCTTCATTTCTATACAGCTTTATATTTTTAAGGAAAAGAAAAATCTCAAAAACAGTTTACAACACGTTAAAATGTCGAATGAAACAATCTGGAATAAAACGTTACTGAAGAAAGTCAACTATAAACTAAAATACCTTAAAGTAGGGTTGCCAAATGTCCAGATTTTCAGGGGGGAATTTGAGGAAATCGCCAAAATGTCCAGGTTTTTGAAACTCCCCACCCCCCGCAAAGGTCAACTTTTACTTCTTTAAATATGGCAACCCTATCTTAAAGATGACAAATAACGCATTACAAAGGAGGTCAACTACAAAATGCACATTTAACGGAGCAAAGTTAACAACAAAATGAACTTAAACATTTCAAAGGAAAACATTACTAAAGGAAGTAGAATATGAAATGCACATTTAAAACAGCATTTATTCCCTTTCCTTTCAAATAGTTCTTCCCTTTCCTTATATTTGATTGTGAGCCTTCAGTTGTTTGTAGTATGGTTAGTTTTCAGATGAAACAAAACATGTTATTTTTTAAATTTTCCTCTCTAGAGGGAGCTCCTGTAACATGTCAACTTTACCATCTTGTCTGTGCTTAATGCAGAGATGTTATTTAAAGTAAGACAATTACTTCCTTAAGGAATTCATGTCTGATAAATGGTTCCAATGGATACACATTTGTCCCAAACACATTTTAGCCTTTGCATTATATTACTGCCAAGCTCTTTTCAATGCTAATAGCGTAATATTCCCTTTGTGAGTCCCAAGGATGCTAACCTTTGCTTTGGACAAGTAGGAGACTAGATTAAGGAACATTATGAGGGCATAATGGATGTAGGGTAATTCTGTAGTGAGGAATGTAACACTCATAAGCTTCTTTACATATTTTGTGCTTCAGCTGATATTATTTGTACTTCCATTACTATACCCAAAACTCAAAAAATTATACAGTGGTACCTCAGGTTAAGTACTTAATTCATTCCGGAGGTCCGTACTTAACCTGAAACTGTTCTTAACCTGAAGCACCACTTTAGCTAATGGTGCCTCCCGCTGCTGCCATGCCGCCAGAGCACGATTTCTGTTCTCATCCTGAAGCAAAGTTCTTAACCTGAAGCACTATTTCTGGGTTAGCGGAGTCTGTTACCTGAAGCCTATGTAACCCGAGGTACCACTGTACTGACATAATCTTCCCTACAAAAATAATCAAGAAAAGTATGTCACAGGTAGATGAATTTTTCTTTATTGTGTTTTAAAAGATGTGACCAACCTCAAGAATTTATGTGCAACTTGTTTTCTCTCAAACAATTGTCTTGTCTAAAAGTATGAATTTATTTTTATTTTTAAAATCCATCTTCAGCAATATACAGAATATTTCATGGGCGAGTGTCAAACATATTGTAATGTTTATTGGAAACTGTTGAAAGACGTTTAGTGTGACCAACATAAATTCATTAATAGATAACCACAAATAAATGTCTCTGAAACAAACCCCATATCACTCTTTACTATGGATTCACAATTGCAGATTAGTATCATGTCTCTGTGCTAAAATGGAAGAAGGTGCAATTTCTTCCCTTCCATTTAAGGACAGTCTTGCTATGTTCTTGATGGGGGGGGGGGGGAGAGACTTCCAAACACTGGCAAAAGCCTTTAGGGGTCCCTCAATCTTCAAGATTTATGCTAAATCAGGTTTTAAGATGGGGACTTCTCCCATCCCTTCCTTTTTTTAGTCTGATCTTGCTCTAACGGGAGGGAGAAAGGTAGGGTGTAAATTTGATAAATAAATAAAGCCTTATGCGCCAACTGCCTTTAAAGAAATTCCTTAATTCAAATATTTATTTAGCCCTGTGCATGAAAAGCAACATTTATCCGTCAAACATTTAAGCAGGGTGGCAGAGGGGGGTGGGGAGAGGATGCTATGTAAGGGCTTAGAACTATTATTATTGCTGTAGCAAGGAATTCAAATTCCTTCTTTTAAATACAACCAGTAATCCGTTCTCTCTATGTTTTTGATCCAGCTTTTGCAACACATCATGGCAGAGAAATGAGGCATACGAAATAAAACCAACAAGATAATGATAGAATTCAGCTGAATACGTGGACTTCACTGTCTAGAACGCTTGGTTGGGGCAACCCACTCAGATGGGCAGGGTAGTAATTATAATAACAATAAGAAGAAGAATAAGTTAATTTTAAGTCTTCTGTATGACTAGAAAGCAGAGAAACAGTAAGCATAAATTAAGAGTGCCCTTCTAGCACAAACTCCTGACTTAAAGCATCACCAACGTACTACAGATAAAAGTATGCAATATTTACAATGCAATCTTACGCATGTTTACTTAAAAGCAAGTCCTACTATGTTCGGTTGGGTTTACCTCCTGGCAAATGTGCATAGGATTAATGCTTAAAAACTGTCGTTAATAGTATTGCTGCACAAAACCAGTTCTACAAATTTATTGGTTATGGGGCTCAACGTTAGCAGTGACAATAGCACAGCTTCTTCTATATATTTTTTCTTTTTGTGTGTGTCGTCCTATCATCATCTTATAGGAAACCCACAACAGGACCACGCATGTTGATAGAATAATTATAATGTAATCACAATATTGTTTCCTTTATCTCCCACTGAAGAAAAGCTCTGGTACAAGTAGATGTAGCAGTAACCCTACTTGGGCATTAAAGGAAGGGAAGAGGCTGTGACAGATGGACTTTGAGTGATTCCCCCTGGGTATCCTGCTGGGATGGGGAGGGAGCGGGGAGTTAAAAGACAGAACCCAACAGGTAAACTGACAGATAGGGCTTTGTAATGGCTGAATGAAGGATTAGCCGGTTGGTTAGAGGTTTGCTAGGCAGGGCAACCCAGATTATTTCCATGAGGTGAAGGGAAAGATCCTAGAAGGGTCTGGAAGAAGGGTCTTAAACTATATACTATATATATATATATATATATAGATAGATAGATAGATAGATATATGTATATGTATATATATATGTAAATGTACCCCTGCCCGTACGGAGCAGTCGTGACCGACTCTGGGGTTGCATGCTCATCTCGCTTAAGAGGCCGGGAGCCAGCACTGTCCGAAGACACTTCCGGGTCACGTGGCCAGCGTGACGAAGCTGCTCTGGCGAGCCAGCACCAGCGCAGTGCACGGAAACGCCGTTTACCTTCCCGCTATAAAGCGATACCTATTTATCTAATTGCACTTAGGGGTGCTTTCGAACTGCTAGGTGGGCAGGAGCTGGGACCGAACGACAGGAGCTCACCCCGCCGCGGGGATTCGAACCGCCGACCATACGATCGGCAAGTCCTAGGCACTGAGGTTTTACCCACAGCGCCACCCGCGTCCCATATATAGATATATATATATATGTTGTTGTTTAGTTGTTTAGTCGTGTCTGACTCTTTGTGACCCCATGGACCAGAGCACGCCAGGCACTCCTGTCTTCCACTGCCTCCTGCAGTTTGGTCAAACTCATGCTGGTAGCTTCGAGAACACTGTCCAACCATCTCATCCTCTGTCGCCCCCTTCTCCTTGTGCCCTTAATCTTTCCCAACATCAGAGTCTTTTTCAGGGAGTCTTCTCTTCTCATGCGGTGGCCAAAGTATTGGAGCCTCAGCTTCAGGATCTGTCCTTCCAGTGAGCACTCAGGGCTGACTTCCTTCAGAATGGATAGGTTTGATCTTCTTGCAGTCCATGGGACTCTCAAGAGTCTCCTCCCAATCTGTCACAGGAGACTGTGTGTTAAAAGCAACTGTGTTAGAAGCAATAGCTGGCTCTGCTGATTTAGCTTCAGTAAAAAACTGACAATCAGCTGGCACGACAGTCTTTGTTCTCCCATTTAGACCCAGGCTGGAAGGCCACCCATCTTGGCATTGGCTGTCTTTAGCAGGATGAACTGAAGGAGACAAAGCTGCTGCTAGGAGGGCAGATTTGTGAGTCTCAGTGTCAATATTCTGGCAAGGCTTAATCATTTGAGCAATCTCTGTTTCTGGCTTCTGGTACATCGCTTTAAGAGCAGTCTTGCAATCAGCATTTTCATTTTCATAAGCCAATTATTTCACTGAAACTTCAGAGGCCTCAAGGTTTGCAATTAAAGTACTGGCTGCTCTTAGCCTATCAAGCCATTTTCTGTCACACTTCGCTTCAATTGTTTAAAAACTGCAAAGGGCAATGATTCATGGGCTCTCTGTTCCTGTGCATTCTAAACAACAGGACAGACTGATAATAATGGTAAGGTGTCAGCTGTTTTTTCTTCACTGCTTCCTTCTGCCATATTTGGAATAGTCAATTTTTGCACTGTGGTCTGAACCCCTTGTGGGCATTGGTCCACCAAAGGTGGCATGGAATTTACATTTGACCCAGGCAAATTTTTGGCAAAGGAAGGTGCCAATGGAATTACCTTTCGCATGACCTCAGAGGAGAGAGGCTGGAAATCTAGAGGCTGAGATGGAGGGAACAATATTATGGTATTTTTAAAGGCAGCTAGGGGTTGCAACAATGTGGGAGCATTCACAGAGACAACTGGTGGCTGCAGTAAAGGGTTAGAAAGCTTTCCAACTGCGTCTCTACACAATTGCCAGGTGTGCAAGATTTGTACAGATGCCTCAGGATGTCTATGGAGTGCATCTCCCAGCTCATTCCATTTCTTAATGTCATAAGCACCCCCCTCTGGAAACCAGGGGCACAGTCTAGCAATCTCTAACAACAATTTTTCTACTAGGGGTGCTAAATGCTTATCATGCCCTGCCTGAGCTAGCAAAAATAACAAATTATTCCTATGCTTTTCCTGCCCATGTGAAAGCTTGCTTCCCATGATCTCACCTGAAGGGTAATAGACGCGCGTCTTTGGGGCTCGTTCCGAGCGAATGAGATACTAAGTCCGGGAATCGTTTTGCAGGAGATGATCCACCACGACTGAGGGATAGCAGGTTGCTAGCTCCGAGGGGAGTCCAATCCTGGGGGTTTCCTTTTGTTGAGGTTTCATTTTAGCTTTGCCTCACACACTGAGGTTTTTTTACAA